CAGCCCCCCTTTAATTTAAATGTCTTGTCACAGAACTGGCATTTGAATGGAGCTTCACCAGTATGAGTTCTCTCATGGTTAATTAGTGTACCTTTTATGGAGAAAGCTTTGTCACAGTACTGACACTGGAATGGTTTTTCACCAGTGTGTGTTCGTTCATGGACAACACAGTTGTTTTTGCGAGAAAAAGTTAGATCACAGTACTGGCATTTGTAGGGTCTCTCTTCAGTCATAGAACCTTTGTGTACAATTTCTTCATGGCGCAAGCAATCTTCCTTCTTGAAGAAGCTTTTACCACAAAACTGACATTTGTGTTTTTCCCTCTCAGTGTGAATAATTTCATGCCTTGAACAAAGAAATTGAGTTAAAAACGCTTTCTGACAGACCTGACATTTAAATGGCAATTCACCAGTGTGGAGTCTTTCATGTTTCCTGCGGACTTTTTTCTCGTAGAATGCCTTGTCACAGTACTGGCATTTGAAAGACCTTGTTCTTGTGTGAGTTTTTTCATGTTGCAAGCAGTTACTATTGAGGGTAAATGTCTTGTCACAGTATCGGCATTTGAATGGCTTCTCCCCGGAGTGAGACATTTCATGCCTCACGCAGTAACTTTTCACAGCAAATGTCTTGTCACAGTGATGACATTTGTATGGCGTCTCCCCTGTGTGAATCTTTTCATGCCTTACACAGTTACTGTTTATGGTAAATCTTGCATCACAGTACTGACATTTGAATGGTTTCTCCCTGGTGTCAGCTGACGTGTGGGATAAGCTTTCATTGGCTGTAGTTACTGTTCCAGTACAGTCATTAGAGACAAGCAGTCTTTTGCTTTGTATACTATACCCTTTTTCAGATGGCATCCTATTAGGGATGTTGTCCTGAGACAATGTTGTTCTGCAATATTGGCAATAATATTGTTTATCTTCATCAGGTGCCTCTTTTTCACATGTAGTGGTATCACTTATGTATATTTTACCGCAGTTCTGGCATTTAAGCATTTCCTGGTGAATACCTTTCATCTGATCAGCCGCCACCTGATAATTCAACTGAATGTCTGTCAGAGTCCCAGCTCCATTCTCTAAAACACTCTCAGGTACAGTTCTCTTGTTTGACATTTTCACTGTCAAGCCACTGTCTAAATTGTCAACTGACTCAATTTTTACGTCATTGTCTACCATATCAGCACCATCCATGTTATGTTCTACAGCCTCGCCAATCTGATTGGAGTTTGTCTTGCAATCCGCCATGATATCTGTCACACTCCCAGGACCATCTTTTGACATGATTTCTTGGTGGGTGGTTATGTCAGAGTTTTCATATTCCAAAGTATGGGCAAAGAAGTCAACTGGTTCCACCTTAACACTATTAATCTTAGTTTTATCATGGTCCAAGTTGTGTTCCAGTTGTTCAGGGTCAACTCCCTCATTTAAAATTTGGACATTCTCAAAACCATCATCCATGGGTTCTACTTTCACAGTGGCAGTCATCCCATCCCCATTATCATCCTCATATCTTTGTTCCATGGACTTGTTTACTTGATTGAACTGTGCCTGATGGTTCAACTGTACATCTACCAAGCTTCCAGCTCCATTCTCTAAAATGTTTTTATTTATGCCATTTACATTACGTTTTTCCAGTTTGCTGGTCTGGTTGGAAAATCCCTCTTCCCAATGTCTTGTCACATCGCTGCTTTCGTTGGAGTTATCTGAGGTGTTTGGTAAAATTGGACTGAAAAGGAAATAAAAATGATTATTAAAAGACATTCCATTCAAAGTTTAGGCAGTAAAACAGGTCCTGAATTTGCATTTTAAAAAGACCAAAGAATATTTATGCAAGATTTTTAAAAAATTTCTCACACAGAAAATTGGGATATTGATGGAATTTAGAATTGCACAACACCTTTGAATAAAAAATTTTGAAACAATTTATGGTTTTGATAATTCTACAAGGCTTTGCAAGTTCCTGCTAGACTCAGTAACAGGCCTCATGAACAATAACTATCGTTTGCTATAACTAGCCTCAGATTTGGGAGCACCAAAGCCCAAAATGAAAGACATGACCCACAATTTCAGTGAACGCATGTAAATTTAGTAGCCACAAACTCTGAATCAAAAAGAATGGCCAATTTGGCCAGCTTTCATCCAGTGGTTAATATTAAATTGCTGGAAATTGTGCTATGAGGACAGCAATTTTAAAAAGCCTAGTTACATGCATTCAATGAGACAAGACATAGGGTGGTGGCTCTTAATTAAAGGACCCATGCCTGTCTCCATGCATCCTACATTGTTTTTTTTTTATCATAAGTAAGAAAGATATTTTGCTTATATACAATATACCTTTTAGAGTGACATGAATATTTATGAAGTATGTAGTCCTTCTTTTTGAAAATTTTTTTCTCACAAAACTGGCACTTGTAAGTTTCTTTTTCTGTGTGAAGTGCTTCATGCCTGGTACAGTTTGCTTGCTTTGCAAATTCATTCCTACAGTAACGACATTTATATAATTTCTCTCCAGTGTGAATCATCTCGTGTCTCTTATGCCCATGTTTCTGGCGGAATGCTTTGTCGCAAAACTGGCATTTGTATGGTTTCTCTCCAGTGTGGAGTCGTTCGTGTATTGAAAGAGAGTATTTGACTGTAAATGACTTGTCACAGTACTGGCATTTAAATGCTTTCTCTCCAGTGTGAATTTTTTCATGCTGAACAACATTGCTTTTGAGGGCAAATGCTGTATCACAGTAATGGCATTTGTATGGTTTCTCTCCAGTGTGAGTCAATTCATGTCTTTCATAATGACTTTTTTCTACAAATGATTTTTCACAGTACTGGCATTTGAATGGTTTATCAACAGCATGATTTTTTTCGTGCTGTAAACATGTGCTTCTGAGAGTGTATGCTTTATCACAGTACTTGCATTTGTATGGTTTATCACCAGTGTGAAGTCTTTCATGACCAACACAAGCCCATCTTTCTGCAAATGACTTCTCACAATACTGACATTTATACTGCTTGACCCTTGTTTGTGTACTTTTGGGAAGACTGCAGGACCGTTCATGTTGCAGACAGTTGCTTCTGAAGGTAAAAGTTCTATCACAGTACTGACATTTGTGTCGTTTTTCCTGAAAATATTCTCTTTCAGTATTATCCAAAGATGTGGGCATGCTCAACTGTATGTCTTCCAAGGTCCCAGCTTTTTTGGCCACAGTCTCTTCAGTAGAGTGGCTTTCATTTTCCATTTCAAGGATATTGTTTACATATATTCAACTGCTGGTTCAACTTTCACATCATTTCAACTTCCATATCATTCTCACATGTCTTCATGATGATCCGTGAAGTCCTACTGTAAGGATTAAAAACATAAGCAATGCATTACATAAATCCATTAGACTGACAAGTCAAAGAACGATTCAAATGAATATTCATCTATTACTATTTATACATTAAATTCTATATCTGCTGTTAAACAAAGACGGTCAGCGTTAATGCTTTTCATTTAATGATGAATACGAATAAGAACAAAAAAAGAAAAATGAAAATGATTCAATGCAGCGATGGAGGCGCTATGAACGACCGAGTTGTAAACATCAGGGCAAAATAGCTTTCTGTCGGCTAAATACAGAAACTAAATGACGTACCTTAAGCATCAGGGTGACACTGCGACAGGATACGTCCTTTGTTCAACACCAAAGTCTATTATAACGTACAGGATATCGCAGACATCTTGGCTACAATCTAAATCAAGATTGTATGTGACATAAATAAAATGCATTAATAAAAATAACTTCTTGTATTTCGACCAACTGCCAAATCAACCATTCTCAACAAAATTCATTTGGTTGCATTATGATATGTATATTTTATTAAAAACGATTCCCATTTTTAGGATCAATCTTGACCTCAGAACCAAACAATATGTCTGCGCCCACATACTGTGACAGATCTTACTTCGTTCTGTGAGACCGACTCTTTGATCGCTCCCATACCGTAAATTCACTCTTTGCTATGAGCAGAGCATCGGAATAATTTTCTACTTAGTATTGTCGTTAATAGTGAACCATCTTTGATTCCTTGTTCCTTGCAACCAAAGCCTAGGTCGATTGGTCCCATTTTGTTCAACACAAATTTTTCACTTAAGATGATTGCAGTGCACATGCACTGAAGTGAAAGCAAGGTGAGGGGCTAGTGTGACCACATGCACGCTGTTGCTGAGATGATATGATATGACATGCAGGTCACTTCCAGTTTCAGTTTTTTTTTTTTTTTGCTTATGACCTTATTTGCTTTTTAATAATAGCTAGTGCACTGACTCCCCCTATCTTATGCGCTCTGTGTTTAAATTCCCCACATGTACTTTTAGCATCTTGTTTACAGTTACTGTACACTGCAGTTGTCAAGAAAAAAAAATGACACAGACTGTGGAATATTTGCGGGTGTCTCAATAATCTGAAGGTTCATTGGTCCGAAGTTTCTTAGGTAAAAAAAATGATATGCACCCATCTCTGATGAACTTTACTTTATCACCAGTACATTGTACACTTTATTCATTCGGACTATTGAACCTTTGGACTATTCTACAGCCCCGAGTATTTTACACTCCTGGCGAAAATTTCAATTTTTTAAAATTAAAACTATTTTACCATTTTAATAGAACAGGAACTGACTAACTGTTTAATCTTTCTTTTTTCATTTTAGACACATTTCATAGAACATTATAAACTACTTTGGAAATGGTAATTCATTGACTCCCAGTGTCGGTATGGAAGAAGCTTATCAAAATCCAGGGAATCTGGTATCTTTGACCACAAGAGTGAAAGCGGAGCCTCCAGAACTTGACCATATTGCACAACTGGACACTTCAAACAGCAGTGCATCTGGAGAAACTGTGTTAGCAAATGGGGGAGGATCTTTGGCAGATGTAGAATTGAGTTTGCAATCAACAGTTACTAACACTGAAAGAATTCAAGAAAAGTCTCTTTCTTGGAAAAAACCACACAAGTGTCGGCATTGCCATAGCACATTTTTTTACAAAAGCAACTTTGTGCAGCATGAGAGATCTTGTTTTTGGCTGAAAAAGAGTCCCACTGAAGTTGAGAAACCATACAAATGTCAGTACTGCGACAAGTCATTTGTGCAGAAGCAGGCCTATGTGGGTCATGAGCGTCTTCACACGGGCGAGAAACCTTTCAAGTGCCAGACATGTGATAAAGCATTCACCCTCAAAAGTACTTGTTTAAAGCACGAAAAAAACCACACCAGTGAAAAACCATTTAAATGCCGGTACTGTAATAAGTCATTTTTAGAAAAGAGCTATTACCTAAGACATGAACTGACTCATTCAGGGGAGAAACCATACAAATGTAACTATTGTGATAGGGCATTTACCCTGAAAAGCAATGTTGTTCAGCATGAAAAAATTCACACTGGGGAGAAGCCATTTAAATGTCAATACTGTGACAAGTCATTTACTGTGAAGTATGCTCGTTTAGTCCATGAAAGAACTCACACGGGAGAGAAACCATACAAATGCCAGTACTGCAACAAAACATTTCCTCAGAAAGTTGCCTGTATGTACCATGAAAGAACCATACTGGGGAGAAGCCATACAAATGTCAATACTGCGAGAAAAAATTTTCCTGGAAAGACAATTGTACAAGACATGAAATGCTTCATACTCAAAGGTAATAGATGGAAAGTTCCTTAACAAAAGTATTTGAAAAAAGTTGGTGTTAGTATGTAAATTTCATTACTTTTACCTATAGAAATTAATCATAAATCAATCAGAGGTTTATTAAACCCATAAGTAGATAGTGTCATGCTACCATTTGAACAGTGTTTAGAAATCTGTTGTTCAATCATTTTTACTCTAGAAATTGATTCTTTTCAGTCCGGTTTATGAGAACACACTGGGAATCTCCAGACATGACAATAATCTGTCAACCTATCTACCAGTTCAGCCAGTTGAAGATAAATCAAGAAATTTACAAACTGTAACAACCAACAGGAAAGCTAGACCAGTGGAACATTTTAATCATGCCACAACACTGAGTATTTCAAAAGAAAGTATTTCTAAAGATTTGCTGCTTGAAAATGAAGGTGAAATTTTCAAGGTTGGCCATATGAATTGTGAGGCTCTTTCTGATCAAAGCAGAGAGCCACTACAAAATAACTTTGCAATGGCCCAAACTACGACCACCATTGCCAATGGTAATCCAGTGCAACATAATTTGGAAAATGTTGACACCTTGGGCAACAGTGTGAAAGTTGAGCCTGTTGATCATTTTGAACATACTGAAAATTTGAGACTGCCAAAAGAATATGCCTGTGAAGAAGCTATTTTAGAAAATGGAGCTGGAACTCTGGCTGATATTTGCTTGAGTTACCAGATGCCTTCCTACCAAATCTGTGGAGGAAATAACACCCAACAGGACATGGTGAAATGTCAGAGCTGTGGTCAGATATATCTCCATGATGGCAGTGATGTATCTGGTGCAGGGACACATACTGGAGAGAAATCATATAAATGCCAATATTGTAAAGCGAAACTGGCTTTCCTAGACAAAGATACAAAGGCACTGTCAGAAGAAATAGATAGTGGAGCAGATGAAGCTACTTTCGACAATTCAAGGACAAACACACAACTACACCGTGACAAAAACATTTCTTCAAGTATTATTTGTTCATCTCACAAATCACCTGACACTGACAGAAAGTCACACAAATGCAGGTTCTGTGACAAAAGTTTTACTCTGAAAAGTAACTGCGTAAAACATGAAAGAATACACACAGGTGAAAAAAGATTCAAGTGCCGATATTGTGAGAAGCCGTTTGTTGAAAAACGCTCTTGTGTCACTCATGAAATGACTCACACTGGTGAGAAACCATACAAATGTCAGTTCTGTGACAAAGCCTTTACCCTCAAAAGCAACTGTGTCCAGCATGAAAAGACACACACTGGAGAGAAACCATTCAAGTGCCAGTACTGTGAGAAGACATACACAGCCAAATATTCCTGCTCGATCCATGAAAGAACTCATACGGGAACAAGACCATTTAAATGCCAATACTGTGAAAAGTCCTTTTCTCAGAAGGCTATCTGCGTAAAGCATGAAAAGATTCACACTGGAGAAAAACCATACAAGTGCCAGTTCTGTGAGAAACAGTTTGCATTGAAGAACCTGTGTACACGTCATGAAATAATTCATACTGAAAGGGAAACTTACAAATGCCAATTTTGTGACAAAAAATTTTTGGAAAAAAGTTATTGTATACGTCATGAAGACATTGTTCATAAAGGTTCTTACACAGAAGAGAGACCATACAAATGTCAGTTCTGTGATCTTGCTTTTGTTCGCAAAAATAACTGCATGGTTCATGAAAGGATTCACACTGGTGAAAAGCCATTCAAGTGCCAGTATTGTGACAAAGCTTTTGCCATAAAGGGAACTTGTGTAGACCATGAAAGAACTCACACTGGTGAAAAACCATTCAAATGCCAGCACTGTGGAAAAGCATTCGCTGTCAAACAAAAGTGCAAGAAGCATGAAAGAAATTGTCATCATTGTGCTCACCCCCAAATTTTATCAATTTAGTCATTTCCATCCCCAGTGCAATAAGAAATATTTATCACAAAAGTGAAGTGAAATAACATGAATGCTTTTCAACTTCTGATGTCATCTGCTTTATGCTTTTTTTGCTGAAAGTGCAATCTTATTATATTTTATTCATTTCAAGTACTGATAATTTTGATAAAGATTTTTAAAAAGGAAATGGTTAAGTATCTTTCTTATTATTATGGCATTCGTTAAGTAAATTAAAGTCATAATAACTCTTCGTGTTGGCCAAAAATTGGATTTTCCTGGAAAAAACGGCAATTTTCCTGTACTTACCAATGGTCAACGACCCCATTCCTGCATTCAAAGTTAATCCAGGGTTTTTTCCTAAACGTACGGTTTTTTGTTAAAATCTCTTTATTTTGCTCCGAATGAACGCGAGAATCCGCGTGACACCATTACGTCATTAGCAACGAATGCCTTGATGACCGGGAAGAAAGGCATCGAAAGCCCTATTGACAAGCACAGATTTTAGTTTTACTACAATAACGGCCGTTTTAGTGGTAAAATACAATAGAATATATTTCCATGCGTTGTTTACAATGTATTTCATGCTGAATTTTGAATCTCAAAGGAAGAGTTATTATTGCTTTAAGTAAATTAAATTTTTTCTGTCATGACAGAATGCTGTTCAGAAACTGTTTTGAACACAAGTAAATATTGCAGACCTTACATGGGGACAGGCCCAGTAGTAGCCAGAGACAGGGCCAAATGGAAAGAAGTGACTGTGGCCTTATGTCCCACACGGGACGAAGAGCACTGATGATGATGAAATATTGCAGATTGATTAAGACGTTTAAGGCTTCGTTCACATGGAAAGTCTATTTTCTAAAAATCTATTTTCTATTCGCGGTATCTTATGATCACAGTCTGTGCCCTGAATATCCCGCGGCGTAATTACTGGCAGCGCGAGCCAGTTACTTATACAAAGCTGTAATTAATTCTCGGCTGTGCTCGCATTCTATAAAATCTCATCCTCCTAGCCGCATCGCTTGCCATCGGATCATGACGGTTGCACTCGTATCTGTCGTGTGTATAGCTTCTTCATCTTCTTCGTCCTGTTGTTGCACAAAATCGACAAACACATTTTTCAAAGCAACCACGACCGCCATTAACTTTCTAACTTCCTACTGCGCATGCGTCAAGGTATCAGAATCTCCTTCGAGCACAGCCTTCTACTGAATCACTGGCAAAACATAACCTTCCAGATGTTCACTTGCTCTTTTGTGACATCTAAAAATAGCCCCTTATGAATAGCTTGTTTCTTCAGACTGAAGTTAACTGAGGAATCTCCTGTATGACATAGTAGCTCCCTCCAGAGCAGGTACAATGCCATCTGCACGCGTGCAGATTTAATTGCTTCCATCTGGCCAAAGTCAAAGGGTGGCTTTTTGAAAATTTGCCTATAATGTCTTCTGCCCTGGTAGAGGATACTCGGCATGTACTAAGAAACATTTTTTTCACCAAATGTACAACCATCATGAAAGGTCAACTTGATTCTTGTTGGGTAGAAACATTTGTTCACAATATTACATAGTTTCAATTGTAACATACGTATCACACCACAGATTGCAATTGTCCATTGTCTTTGGACAAATGACTATCAGCACCTGTCCAAGATAAATAGCTGATTGTCCTAGGACAGTTGTATATCCATCAATTTGGATTCCTCAGCTAGTAAAAATGCAAAAATGGATGATGATTTTCATAATGCCATCTTCTATTTACATTTTTTTATTTCAGAAATCAAGGTCTTTCACTGGTTTAAATTAAAAATGCTCAGCTAGTCAAAAGTAAGATTTTTGTAAAGTATATATCTTCTCAGGGGAGTAAATCAAAGAAAAAGCTGAGTTATGTTTGAAATTCCCTTAAAAACTTGCCAAAACTACTAACTTTGTAAAACGCTAAGGATTTATAATTTTCACCACATTTATTAAATATTTCATGATCTAATTTAACACCAAGGTTAAAAACATCTTATTTTACATCAAAATAAGTGACACAACATACCTAAATAATCATTGGCTTACTTATAAATGCCAATTGACTGAACTGCCAAGTTTCTTTCTCAGATGATATAAGTGCAGCAATAAAGGTAGTATCCTTCAAACAGCTATTGGTATATTATCTGTACACATGATATTAGCTACCACTTTATAAGTGTTTTACCATTAAATTATTTATTTTCTTTTTATTCATAACCATTGAAATATTTAGTATCACATGCCAACATCTAATACAACAGTTGTTACTAGGAACCATTGAAGATATTATTAAGAGGGCTAATTTTATTAAATGTGATGGGAGTATGGTCTTTCAATGGAACACACATATGAAAGATAGTGGAATAAGCTTGTATCTGTGTAAATTATGGCTGTATGAAGTAAAAAAAAAATGGGATTGGACATTGATTAATCAAATATGTTTATGGCTGTGTTCAGAAGAGAAGTTCTAGTACTGTAATAGCAATATTGATCTCCGTGGAAATTCTCGCTAAGGCCCAGTCATTGTAATCGGCTTAATTGTCTGGCATGCCTACTCATAACTTGGGTAACTTTAGACTGGGTTCCCATCCCTAGATCGATCTAATAAGATCGGTTCATCTCCACTGGGTTTCTCACTAAATTGCTTTCTTCTTAAGCTGGCTTTGATGTCTGGCACGCCTGCTAAAGCTGCTAAATGATAGTTAATTACCTTCTATCAGCTTCAGTAGGTGTGACAGACATCTAAACTGTTAAAGTTAATTGCAATTAAGCGAGAATCCCCTTGGAGATAGTTCGATCCAAAGTTAGTACTTAGCCTTAGTAAAAATCTGCCACCTTCAGTACAATAATTTCTATTCTGAACATAGCCTATCACAATTTAGATTTTGAATTAAGATGTAAGAGAAAAATACCTCTACCCTGAAATTCAGTCCAATGTGTAGTACTTACAAGATACTAGCAATAAGTGCCTTCTGATTTCATCCAATAATTCTTGCTGTCAACAACAGTTAACTTATCAAACCCAACTGCAAGGCACTGGCAGTCTGTTTAAGTTATAGCAAACAGTGACACAATGCACCAATATAACTACTGGCTTAGTTATGTCTTAATTGACTGCCTACAGCACAAGTGTGTTCTCAGATAGTACCAGTGCAACAATTTGTCCTTCAAATTCCTGCTTTTGGTAACAGCCTAATGTTATCAAATTTTATATACAGCGTGTATGTGTATGGTTTTTAATATTTATGTAACACAAATACAAAAGACAGTGGAATAAACCATGAAAAAATGGGGCCGCATTCAGGACAGTGGATTGACTAGTCTGAGGGTCAAATATGGCTGACCCACTTGAATTCTTCCCCACGGGGAATCTATTCAGTGTCTATTAGTGGATTAGATGGCAAGCACATCTGCGCTGGGCAGGCCATGTTGTTCTTATGCCAGACTATCGGCTTCCCAAGCTACTGCTGTACGGCGAACTGCAACAGGGAAAGCACTCCCTAGGTGGTCAAAAGAAGCGCTTCAAAGACACCCTGAAAGCTTCGCTAGAAGCCTTCAATATCAGCCATGACACCTGGGAGATGTCTGCAATGAACAGATTAAAGTGGCGTTCAGATGTTCATTATGGTGCCAAAGCCTATGAAACCAACCAAATTATAAAGGCAGAAAAACAAAGACAGGCCAGAAAAAGCAGTACTAGTAAGCCCTTGACAGCAGCCGCCATTCTCTACCCTCACTGCAGTAAATCCTTTCGAGTGCAGATTGGCCTGCACACACACAGAACACAATTCACTACATGGTTCTTGTTGATTCAGATGGACCAACCACACACAGATGGCAAGCTTTTTAGTGGGCAGCCATATTTGACCCTCGGACTACTTAGTCTACTGTTCTGAATGCGGCCTGGGATAATAGCGTGGGTTATACCTGTTGTGCCCTCCCTTGTAACTGCCACAAAAGATGATTTATTTAGATCTAAGACATGTATAATTTGGGTTTCTTACTGAAGTAGGAAAGTGTCCTCTTCTGCTAATATAAGCTAAATGATACTTTAAGGCCTATAGATCTACTAATTTCATCTACTGACAGTTCTTAGACCTCTCTAATTGTTACATTTATATAATACCATGAAACTACAACATTTAGTAAACAATAATAAGTACAAAATTTGTCATAGATTACTGCTCTTTGCCACTGATTAATTCAGAATTATTTGGCCACTTCCCTGAAATTATCAATAATGATAATTAACAAATAAAAAGACTATCCTGCAGTTTCATCAGTACATTTTATTCAGCTGTCTGTTTTTCATAATAAGCTTGCATCATTTTTGCATTAAAACCAAAAACAGCTCCTGGAAAGAATGAAAGTATCCAAACCCTTTCTTTCACCCTGGGTTTCTGAGGTTTGAACCCCAACTGTCCAGTGTCAGCATAAACGTTTCTCTCATTTGATATTTCCATTGCCTAGCCAAGGTCAAAATTGTCCATTCACTCTACTTTCAGTTTTACATCACTGTCCAACATTTCAGCATCCTCCATGTTATGTTCCACAATTTCTGAAATCTAACTGGAAGTCATCTTGCAATTCATCACGATATCTGACACACACCCAGGAACATCTCTTGTCAAAGTATCTTGGTGGGTGGATTTATCCGATTTTAATATTCCAGAGCATGGGAGATGAAGTCAACTGGTTCCACCTTAACACTATTAATCTTAGTTTTATCATTACCCAAGTTTTGTTCCAGTTGTTCAAGGTCATTTATCTTGTCTAAACATTCCCAAAAGCCTCATCTTTGGGTTCTACTTTCACAGTGACAGTCATACCATTCCCATGATCTTCCTCAACACTCTGTTCCAAGGTGTTGTTCACTTGATTGAACTGTGCCTGGTGGTTCAACTGAATGTCTACAAAGCTTCCAGCTCCATTCTCTAAAATGGGATTATTTGTGCCACTTATATCAGGTTTTTCCAGTTTGTTGATCTGGTTGGAAAATCCCTCTTCCAAATGTCTTGCCACATCACTGCTTTCGTTGGAGTTATCTGAGGTGTTTGGTAAAATTGGACTGAAAAAGAAAAATGATTATCAGGGCATTAGGTTATAACAGAGCTCCAGAAAATAGGAAAATATGAAAAATTAAAATAGAAAAAACATAGGATTTTTCTTGCAAAAGTATAGTAAAAATAGGAATTTTTCTAAAAGAAATACTGACTCCCAACACCCATATTATGCCATACTGGTCTAACACACGTCTGTGCTTGCAAAATAGTCTTAAAACAATCCATCACCTAACAAGCTTTCAAACAACATGAAATTATTGAAATACTAATTTAATTTCTATACAATACTGTTACTAGTACTATAACATATCTGTTTTAAAAGCACATTCATTTGATATGTGCTTATTAAGTTAAAAACATGTACCAAATATACTATCAAAAACATATTCTAACATTATTCGACCTTTTTTTTAATGAACAATCAACTTTTTTGTCCCTACTGCTGACCGTTTTGCTGGTGGATAACTTTTTTTGGACTCATAAACAATAACTGTCATTTGCACTTTTGAACTGAGAGTTTGCAACTGTGAATGCTGAATTAACAACCTTAACCACAATTTCATTGAGTGAAAGTAAAAAATTGGGGGATGATTTGGCAAGCATTCACCAGGCCCCATTTTATTTACAGAACATACCAAATGGGATTTTGAGCGGACTTGTTTATCACATGTTTGTGTTTGCAACAAATGTCTATATAACTGCACCATAAAATAATAGTTTAAGCTGTTCCTTTGTAGTTGATAAATTTTGGTGCTTTAGACTGGGTTCCCATACCTAGATCAATCTAACAGGATCGAACTATCTCCAGAGAATTTCACAACACCTTTGAGTTAAACATTTGGAACATTTTATGGTTTTAATAATTCCTCAAGTATGCTGCCATACTCAAAAAAAGGCCTCATGAACAATAATTGGTATAAAAAGCCTCAGATTTGGGAGAACAAATACTCAAATTAGGGACTTAAGCAACAATTTTAGTGTACGAATGTAAAATAAGCAGTAGGACCTACCTTTTGGGGTTACATGAATATTGATGAAGAATGCAGTCCTCCTTTTTGAAAAATATTTTCTCACAATACACACATTGGTAAAATTCTTTTTCTGTGTCTGTGTGAAGCGCTTCATGCCTGGTGCAGTTTGCTTGCTTTGCAAATTCATTCTTACAGTATCGGCATTTGTATAGTTTCTCTCCAGTGTGGATTAACTCATGCACCTTATGAGCATATTTCTGGTTGAATGTCTTGTCACAATACTGGCATTTGTATGGTTTCTCTCCAGTGTGGAGTCGATGGTGTATTGAAAGAGAGTATTTGGCAGTAAATGACTTGCCACAGTACTGGCATTTAAATGCTTTCTCTCCAGTGTGAATTTTTTCATGCTGAACAACGTTGCTTTTGAGGGCAAATCCTGCATCACAGTAACGACATTTGTATGGTTTCTCTCCAGTGTGAGTCAATTCATGTCTTTCATGATGACTTTTTCCTCCAAATGATTTTTCACAGTACTGGCATTTGAATGGTTTATCAGGAGCGTGATTTTTTTCATGCTGTAACCATGTGCTTCTGCGAGTGTATGCCTTATCACAGTACTTGCACTTGTATGGTTTCTCGCCAGTGTGAAGTCTTTCATGACCAACACAAGAGAATTTTTTTGAAAATGACCTATCACAATACTGACATTTATACACCTTCGGCCCTTCCTGTGTTCTTGTGAGAATGCAGGACCGTTCATGTTGCAGACGGTTCCTTCTGTAGGTAAACGTTCTATCACAGTACTGACATTTGTGCTGTTTTTCCTGAACATATGCTCCTTCAGTATTATCCAAAGGCATCGACATGCCCAACTGTACGTCTTCCAAGTTCCCAGCTCCGTTGGCCAGAGTTTCTCCCACAGACTGACTTTCATTTGGTTCTTCCATTTTAAGGGTATTGTTGATATACTCAACTGATGGTTCAACTTTCACAATGTTAGGTGAAGACATTTTAAGTTTTTTTTTTTATTTTTTTTTTTATTATTTTTTTTTTTTAGATCACTCTAGCAGAAGGTCAGTGCTTACAGTGTCAAATCATTTTCAAATGGTACCATGATGATCTATGAAGCCATTCTGTAAAGATTGAAAAAAAAAAAAAAAAAAAAAAACATTAAATAACTTTAGTTTATTAGATTGAAAAAGTCAAAAACATTAATTAACAACAATTTCCATTACTATTAATCCATTAAAGACAACCGTACTGGTACCCTCACCTGCTACAGTGCTAGCGTCACTTTTTTCTTTTAATGATGAAAACTAATTAATGCAAAATGAAGACGAGATCGAGACGCTATGAAGGACCAAATTGAAAATATCAGGACAATAGCTTTCGATCGGCTTATTACAGAAACTAAATCAAGCCATCATGATTACCCTGAACAAGTCTCGATCTTTGTTCTCCACCAAAGTCTATTATAATGTACAGGAAATGACGAGATTACCTAAGAGGGCGCAGACATCTTGGTTACAATCTTAATCAAGATTGTATGTAGCGGAAATAAAATGCAATAATAAAAATAACTCATTATGTTTCGGTGAACTAGCAAGTAGAACAACTTACGATTTTTGAGTGCTGTTTCAAAAAGCTATCGTTAACCTTTTGCTAAGTTCTCTTGTTAAGTTCGTTAACATATTCTCTCGCTACTCACCGTACTCTCGAAACAGCATACCGGAAATGGAACTCTTGCGTAAAAAGTGTCATGAATGTAGTCGTTCTCAAAAGTTTGGCGGCTGCTTTGAGGCCGTCGGGCTTCACCACCCTTTCCACCGCTCTTCTTGTCCCAGTTAGGCGGATTCTTTCGTAAATTTCATCATCGTTCATGTATTCTAATGCTTGGACACTGGCTAAAAGTTAATTGAACAGCCTGATCATTATGTAAACTTCCTATCTTTGAAGCGTTTTCATGTCAGGGACAAACCACATACATATTTCCGGTGATTGGATTTCTAATGTTGTTTGCGCGAAGAACATGATTAAGTACTCTATCTAAGACTGGTCTCCCATACCTACAGTAGATCGATCTAATTACAGGGATCGACCAATCTCCATGGGGATTCTCGCTAAATTGCTTTTAGCTTAAGCGGCTTACTGTAGATGTCTGTCACGACTACTGAAGTTGCTAGGGGGTAATTAATTATCGATCAGCAGTTCAATCCACACTTAGTATGTTGGGTTGTGGAAATGGTACAATTAACCTTCAGCCAGTGCCCAAGTAGAACTGAAAGTTTATTTATGAAACGTGCAATTTACGCAGAATATGATTCATTAACTCGATGCGAGTGGCTTCGATTCCATAAAATGGGTGCTCAAAAAGACAGGTACCCTGGGTATCTGTATCTACTTTGGCAATTTGGTCAAAATGGTTGTCAGCTGGCTCAACTTTCACATTTACAGTCAAAGTTTTCTTGTTTCTCATGTCCTGTTCACCTGACTGCATTTGTGTGGGATGTAAACATGCAAGTACAGTAATAATAATAAGTTTTTTTAGTACGGGTATGTACTGTACGTTATACTAATATGTGATATGTATAAAAAAAAGTATTACTTGTACACTTACCCTTGATACAATTGTTTTAGTGTTATTTATTATTTTTTCTCTCCAGTGCATTGTTACATGTGTATTCGCGTCCTATAGATATGATTTTACCTTATGTGTGAAGGTTGTGATCAATAAACTCATTCCATTCTTTGGGGGAGAACACAGAGACGACATTTCCTGCCTGTGAGCCACTGCCTGTAGCCCGTGTGTGAAGTGTTATAATCTTTTAAAGTTATTCATGAAAAGAGAAGTTACTACCATTATTAAAAATAATAATGAGTCGAGCCAATAAGTCTTTATTTTTAATTATACCTTCTTTTTGTGTGACTAAGTACAATTGTAACTGGACTTTTCAAAGAAGAGATTTTTTAAAGACTGCCACATCATATTTACTTGATGGATTTTGTTGGCTAGTTTTACTTGTTACGTAAATATATGGGGTCATGTCAATACATCCCCGCACTGTTACTCCCCAGCACCGATACTCCCCTTTGGTACATTTTTACATTATGCACATCGATACGATTCCACACCTGTAGATCCCTGCATAGATACATCCTTTGTTAAATAATTGTTATGCAAGCACTGGTACTCTACTCCCCCACACCAATACTCTCCCACATCTTTGGCTTCCCGCATCGTTACTCCCCCTAAACAAATAAAAACTCTATTCTTCAATTTTATTATTTTATAGTTCATTTTATTCAGCTGGCCAATTTTATAATTTGCTTGCCAGTCATTTTAGCAATTTTAATGAACAGCTCCGGGAATGAAAGTATCAAACCCCTTTTTATCACCCTGGGTTTCTTAGGTCCATGGGTGCCCAAATCTCACCAATCAGCATGCCACTCATGGGAATGGGGTGGGGGTGGGCATTTCCAGGGGCCACTGAAACCCCCGAGTGCTTTTTACAGAAAAAAGGGAACATTTAAAATGTATTGCACTGGCGTTTAGCTCACAGCTGAATCGCTCCCTGGTAAAACTTACATATGGCATGAAATGAATCTGATATCTAGTCATTTGTTTTAATAGCCAGTATTCAAAGAGGACTTGAGTTCATGCATGTAGGTAAGTACTTGTGCTTGTTACTGCATTTCATCACTATATTCCAATTTCACAGGACATTCATGTAGCATCTCTTGTGAAACTGGTGAACTTTCTCTAAATTCATCCTGGGAGCTATGAATTTCAAAATGAAGCCTGTCACTTTTGCCACAGTTTTTTTCATGCTCTTTACAGTTTTGTTTAACAGCAAATGCTTTTTCACAGTGCTGACATTGGAATGGTTTTTCACCAGTGTGAATCCTCTCATGTTTAACACAAGTACTTTTGATGTTAAATGCCTTAACACAGTACTGACATTTGAACGGTTTTTCTCCAGTGTGGATCCTTTCATGTACCATGCAGGTATTTTTGCGAGGAAAAGTTTTATCACAGTACTGACATTTGTGTGGTCTCTCTTCAATGTATGTCCCTTCATGGTTAATCTTTTCATGGCGTACACAGTAACTTTTCTCGTAAAATGTTTTATCACAATACTGGCACTTATAGGTTGCTCTTTCCGTGTGAATCATTTCATGACGTGCACAGTTATCTTTCCAAGAGAACTCTTTCTCACAGTACTGACATTTGTATGGTTTCTCTCCAGTGTGAGTCCTTTCATGGTTTATACACATGACTTTCTGTGCAAATGTCTTGTCACAATATTGGCATTTGTACGGTTTTTCTCCAGTGTGAGTTCTTTCGTGCAATAAGAGGGAATATTTTGCAGTGTAGGTTTTACTGCAATACTCACATTTAAAAGGCTTCTCCCCTGTGTGAGTTTTTTCATGTTGGATACAGTTGCTTTTTAGAGTAAAAGCCTTCTCACAATACTGGCATTTAAATGGCTTTTCCCCAGTGTGGTTCATTTCATGACCTATACAAGACCTCTTTTCAACAAATGTCTTGTCACAGTACCGACATTTGAATCTCCTTTCCCCAGTGTGGATTCTTTCATGTTTCACACAGTTACTTTTAAGGGTAAAGATTTTCTCACAGTATTGACACTGATAAGGTTTGTTCGTTATATGTGGTTTTAAATGTAACTTATTAACAGCTGTAGAGACACGTTTTTTATACTCTTGGTTGGCACATGCTCCTGTATCCAGAGTAATGCTTTCATTCAATCCAAAATCTATTTTTTCACATAATGTCTTGTCACTGTTATACTGGTGAGGCAGAGTATTTCTACAATATTGGCATTTATATGATTTCTCTCCAGTCTGTGTCCCTGCACCAGATACATCACTGCCATCATGGAGATATATCTGACCACAGCTCTGACATTTGACCATGTCCTGTTGGGTGTTATTTCCTCCACAGATTTGGTAAGAAGACATATGGTAACTCAAATTAACATCTGCCAAAGTTCCAGCTCCGTTTTCAAGGGCAGCTTTTCTTTTTGACGTATCTACTTTGGCAATTTGGTCAAAATGGTTGTCAGCTGGCTCAACTTTCATATTTACAGTCAAAGTTTTATTGATTCTAATGTCCTGTTCACCTGACTGCATTTTTTGCATTGGTGCTTAAATGCTGTCTTTTGTTGTGTTCTTAATGGACTGGATATGAAACCTAGAACAAAATAAAAGATCACTGCATTGAACAAATGTAGGAAATGTAAGAAATATACCAACTTCAAATGTGTGCATACTGTATGTGATCACCATTTTGAAAAGGAAGTCTGAAAATATTTCATTAATTATAAAAATACTATGGTGCATCGAAGCCTTCACTTTTCTCCCCTTCTCTCTGATGCCAAAAAGAATACAGAAAAGCTGGTGATGTAACAAGCATGTTGGAATCAAGAGGAGGCATGTTAAACTGTTAAATCTGATTGCATACAGCAAGAGTCCAAGTGAAGTGAGCAAGTACCTGTACAATAGATTCATTGGGAACACACTGTAACATCAGCTGGTATAAGTAAGTACTACATGGGTAATGTTTGACTATCAAGTTAGAAATACATTTCTTTTTTCTATCTTTTTTCTTCGACACGCAGTGTGATCTAGAGTCCGGCTGTGGCATGTACATGCATGGTGGCCCAGGAAGCTTATTAGTCTGTTCCCCATTACTTTGTACAGGTGACCTTTGCCCATATACTAACCCCAATACTAAGACAACCATATTAAACATAACCCCCCCCCCCCCCCAAAAAAAAAAAAAAAAACTTCCACTCCTAAGCATACCATTCCTGACATACATGGTAAAAAAGTGAAGGATCAGTTTTCTCTGCATCAGTCTCAAATTTATTTACGTTCATGTAAGCTGGCACGATGATAAATATATTGGTCTGAAATGTGGTAGCAAAAGCTGAAAAATCACCAACAATAGCCGTAGATCTACTTGCCTTTCTTATGCACAAGCGATCACAGTAATCAATTATTATAATTCTCTTTTCACCCAGGGGTAATTTTATCGTCTTAAGGAGCAGACATCTTGGGCAATTCTAATGTGAAGATTGGTAAACGAAACGCAATTCTTAAGTTTACTGTAAAGTTTATAATGGTTATTCACTAATTGAGGAACGTTCTCAAATAAACACAATGGTAAAAATAAATGTTGGATATTAAAGGTTGGGTGCAGATGAACAAACGATGACCTCTTTGTCTCTTTGCGAGATGTGCGAATAGTTCTAGTCCCAAAGTTGGATTTTTATCAGTGTCCACATACAGCTTTAAAGGCAGAGTCTGTATAATTTCAGAGGTGGCATAGTATGTGAGTGGTTTTAAATTTACGCTAACTTAATGACCGCATCCACGGTAAAATAAATTTATCAAAAGTATACCTTCATCATACTGTTATCTCTCAAATTTATGTTTTAATCTCAAATGATAATTTTGGGGTAGGGGAGACCGGGGCACGTTCGGCCCCTTTTCCTTTGATCGGTTGTAGTTCAGCTGCTTGACGACGAATCTCAATGATGTGTTTTTAGTAGATAGAATGCTGAATTCCCCCTTTTTATACATTGTTTAAATGTCAAAAAGACCTTACGTTTTAAAGAAATTTAACATGAAATAAATTTCCAACACGTGGCCGAACGTGCCCCGGCCTGGGGCACGTTCGGCCTCTCGATGGGGCACGTTCTGCCTGCAAATTCAAATACTTTCCTACCGATTTCTTTTATTTCCATTTCACATGAATACCTTAAAAATAGGTATTTTTGGTGCTAAATTAGCTACTAAACTGTGACGATACACTTGAAATAAATAATATAGTTAGGTTTTAGAAAGATATAGGCCTATTTAGGCTTAATTGAAATTGTTTGTTTGGTACATGTATGTCCTTGAACTACATGTATTGAGCTACTATTTTTAAATGCATAGGTCTTTATACTTCTCGCATCATGGTAACGTATGTATTGGTAACGTATGTATCATCTTAATGTAATAAAGAAGAATGAGCGACGTAAAAACATGCGTGCCCACATATAAAACGTCGCACGCAACCAGTCGTGAAAAAAAAAACAACAAACAATGAATTAAAAAAAAAAAACCTTCACGTTATTTGGTGACATATGTATCTTATGAACAATTTTCACATTTAGTTGAAGGCAAAAAATATCTTTTTATTTTATTCTAATCTAACATTAAGACATAAGTGTTGGCCCACAAATAGAAAAAGACGTAATAACAAGCTTGCGCATATATACAACGTCGCACGCATGTTATTACGTCGTTCATTCTTCTTTGTTACTTTAATATGATACATACGTTACCGATACATACGTTACCATGAAGCGTGTAATTATTTATTTATTCTATTTTCATTGGTTGTCTTTCGTTTTGTGAACCAACACTTACACTGATGCTCATAAGTTAAGCAACACCCAGATTTTTTCAAAAGTTTCTTCTATCATGTTCATTATTTCATTTGTTAGTGGAATTATGCATATTTCTTTCATATTTTATAAATAACCTATTCAAATTGAATATTTCTGTTAATGAAATACACCACATAGCCTATTGTAATAATCAAAATAACTTTATTAACCAAACGGTACCAAAATAGGCCAAACCATGTGTCTAAAAAGTATGCTCACACAGCATAAAGTACGTGCTGATTAAAACAGCTTATCATGAAAAAATAAAGTTCAATCATCTAAGAATTAGTTTTAATAAAAGAAGACTGTAGATAATAAATGATTAATCGTCTATTATCCAATAAATATTGGATGTGCCTTCCCTATTTTTGAACAACAGCTTCACAATGCCTCCTGCAATTTGCCACCAAATTCTGTCAATCTTGCATTGTGAGCCTGTTCCATTCCTAAATTACTGCCTGCTAGAGCTTTCTTATGTTTCCGACTGGAGGTTGTCTCTCATTAACTGCTCTGTCAATCATATCTTTAACATGTTCAATTACACTGAGAATTGGCGAATATTGCAGGGCCATCCAAATTTGGAATACCATGCTGTTGCAGCGCGATTTGCACGGACCGTGCTTTATGAATGGGCAAATTGTCCTGCACCAAAATGATATTCCTTCCTGGATTTGCTTGAATGTGTGATTGCAAGCTCCCCAATGGTATTTCTTCTCTGTATCGTTGACCAGTGTATCTCCCTTGCATGACGTACAGTGGCAATTTTTCATCATATGAGAAAGCGCACCATACTATGACGGGTACTCCGCCATCCTGAATACAGTACGTGGGTGATCACAATCATCCTGAAACGCTTGGTTTGGACCTCTCCAGACTCCCAGCCAACCATCTGCATACATCAAAGTGAATCTGCTCTCGCCAGTCCACAGGACCCTTCACCCAGTCCTTAGGTTCTATCTCTCTCGGCATCTGGCTTATGCCAAACTTATCTGCTTGTGTCTTTTGGTCGACGGTGGCTTTTTAGGAGGCTTTTTAAATGAAAGTCCAGCTTCTAAATTATGCCTGTTGACTGTCTGCCTACTGATTCGAGTTCTTCCTAATCCAGGCCAGATGTTTCTCAGCTGTTTGGTCGACATGAACCGGTTCTGGTGGCGTAGTCGAACCTAACATCTTCTAACACTTGCGTCGGTTAATCTCGGTCTACCAGAAAGAGGCTTGTCCAATACATGATGAGTTTGGCGCCATTTTGCCACCAGCTTGGACACTTGACTTGGTGCTACTCTCTATTGCCTTGCAATCTGTCTCTCTGGTACCTCAGCAAGATGGCTTCCTATAATTTGCCATCTGATTACCTCGTTGAGTCTTCTTCTAACCATTGGTTGGTACAATATAACAAATTGTGCCCATGAAACCAGCCAAATTGGAAGCTCCGCATGGCATGCCCAAACTGTGTTTTTCGCAAGTGGCACCCCTATTGCATATTCTACCCTGCCCAACAGTAAATAGTACTCAAATGTCACGGTCCACTAGTTCAAAGTAAGAACGAGATACATGTTTAGCTACTGTACAAATTTTGCCTCAATAAAAAGCTTGGTTGCTGAGAAATTTGAGAAATTAGAAAGTGTTGCTTAACTTATGAGCATCAGTGTATGTCTTAATGCTTCATTAAAATAAAAGAAAATGAAATTAAAAAGATTTCTTGCCTTCAACTAACTGTGAAATATTTCACATGAATCCTATCGGTAACGTATGTGTCATTTTAACGTAACAAAGAAGAATGAGTGACGTAATAACAAGCACATATACAACGTCGCACGCTTGTTATTACGTCGCTCATTCTTCTTTGTTACGTTAAAATGATACATACGTTACCGATACATACGTTACCATGAAGCGTGTAATTATTTATTTATTCTATTGTCATTGGTTGTCTTTCGTTTTGTAGACCAACACTTATATCTTAATGTTACATTAAAATAAAAGAAAAAGAGACAAAAAAGAATCCTTGCCTTCAACTAACTGTGAAGTATTTCACATGAATCCTATCGGTAACGTATGTATCATTTTAACGTTACAAAGAGGAATGAGCGACGTCAAAACATGCGTGCGCACATATAAAACGTCGCACGTATGTTATTACGTCGTTTATTCTTCTTTGTTACGTTAATATGATACATACGTTACCGATACGTACGTTACCATGAAGCGTGTAATTATTTATTTATTTATTCTATTTTCATTTTAGATCTAACGTAACAAAGAAGAATGAGCGACGAAATAAGAAGCTTGCGCACATATACAACGTCGCACGCAACCACAGAGTCGCGACAACAGAGAACAAACAATGAAATCAGCAAAAACAATACCTTCACGTTATTTGGCAATGTATGTATCGGTAACGTATGCATCATATGAACAATTTTCACATTTGGTTGAAAGCAAGAAATCATTTTTGTCTCGTTTTCTTTTATTTTAATGTAACATTTAGACATAAGTTTTGGCATACAAAACGAAAGACAATCAATGAAAATAGAATGAATAAATAATTTCACGCTTCATGGTAACGTATGTATCGGTAACGTATGTATCATATCAACGTAACAAAGAAGAATGAGCGACGTAATAACAAGCGTGCGACGTTATATATGTGCGCAAGCTTGTTATTACGTCGCTCATTCTTCTTTGTTACGTTAATATGATACATACGTTACCGATAGAAGTATATGTATTGATGCATCTTTGAAGATTTACATTATAGTTGTAAAATAAAATCCGGCCTTCTTCGGGGATTATGAAAAAAAAGTATTTTTTTTGTTCATAATCTCCGAAGAAGGCCCAGGGGCCGAAAGCTCGGATAAAGTTTTAAAGAGTTTTAATCTGTGTAACAGCGGAGTAACTTCATCAGCTGTCTTACATGATAACAGTTAAATTAATTCGAGGTAATGCAGACATAATTGTAAATTAACTGGCGCTTCTTTATATTCATAGCAAGGCTTTTCCCATCGAATCGTCCATTTTTTGAAAAATGACTGAATATAGATATGCACCCTAACTGAATGGAACAATTTTAAGAATGGGTCAAGTAGGGCCTATTACAATAACAACATCAAACAACTAACAATAATCACCCGCGGCAAAAGATATCATGAAAGTTAACTTTTTAACTTAATAGATAAATCTAGTAATTATTTTTCAGTGAATTAAGTTGCTAGACTAGCAGATGACATGTAATTAAAGTTCCACTTGGACAACAATTTTAATGGGCCTCAGTATTTAGTATGTGAACTCACCCAGTGAAAGACATTTGCCATGGAAAAGATCATTGCAATATGCTGTCCTCGGCTTAAATTTAAGTATGTAATACAGAAGCGAAAGTTTATAAAAATAAGAACATGATTCATAATATTCGCCTCAATTAGTGTGCATTACGTTCCGCGTGTGCATTCTTTGTTGCGAACGAACCCGAAGTCAAGAAGCGGCCAGATACCAAACACGAAGTTTTCGTCACTTCAGGCATTTCAGTTCTAGTTGAGTAGATTTCTTCATTCGGGGCGATTATTCTATTAATGTTTATAGAAGATAACCAACTCGGTATTTATAAGATCAGTACAGCTATGGCCGCTGCATGGTATGTTTTCTATCGACTTTTTAACAAGAACAATGATGCAGNGCATCAAAATTGACAAAAAGCCTACTTTGTGCTCTGCTACCATTAATATTATGTAAAGTAAAGTGTTACTTTCTATTTATTTACTATTCTTACAAAAATGATTCTTAGGATTGACATACAGCTCATATTAGAGAACCAGCTCTATTGGATTATCATTTTTATTAGATTTATGAATTTTTTGTGAAATTTTCATTTTTCTAATTCTGGCACTTTCTAATTGTAAAGTTGAACTCTGATGGGCCTGGAGCCTTATGCTTTACTTTTATCAATGTTACCTGTACGTTGTGCATAATTAAAATTTGATGTTGACTGTGCAGTTAAACATAATGTATTATTGCATCAGAATTGGTAGTCTTCTGTTTTATTTTGTGCATTATTTTCTGCTTTTCTTAAGGTGTGACTTATGGGCCTGAAGACCTTTGATAGACAAATTTGTGTGGTCAGTCTGTAAATTCCCCTTGGGTATTCACTAGGCTAATTTCAGTGCTTTAAACTCATTTGCCTAATTAAGCGGCCATTAAATGAAATTTCATAAAGCACACTTGTTGATATTTCCCTGTAAACTCCCAAAGGTTAAGCTCTCTGCTAGATAACATAGTGTCCATAATAAGGAAGCAGTGAATAGCAGCTTCATTGGAATTATATTTTTGTTGTTTTCTTTTTAATTTTTTCTCCAACACTGGCATTTTTAAGATGTGATTTTTAACTCCCATCCACCTGAGGCTCTGCACATTTTCAGTATTTCCACATAAGCAGTTGTATTGGTATTTATGTCTTTAAACATGCTGTAATATTATTTTATGCACTGTCATCATTTTTCATATATTGGAACTTTCATCATGTGAATTTTAACTCTCATGGTCATGAAACTGTAATCTTATTGAAGGGGATTGATTGAGACCATTTTCTGGGTCTCCTGGAAGACAGTCAGATTTTAAAGTTTATATTTACGGGTTTCTGTTGGAAGACCATCAAAATGGAGGATGGATCAACAAAGATACTTTGGAATACTGTCAGAAAATATCTCTGGATCTGCTCCTGTTATTGACTATGTTACCTGTTGTGCATGATTAAAAATCAGTGTTGACTGACTGTGCTATTATAAGCATATATTATTGCATCAAAATTGACAAAATGACCTATATTGCATCTTTTTTTTTCTGTTTTTTTGTCTGTACATTTGACAGCTTTGCTGCCTTGTTTAACGTAACAAAGAAGAATGAGCGACGTTAAATCATACGTGCGCACATATACAACGTCGCACGCACCCACAGTCGTGACAAAGGACAACAAACAATGAAATGATAATAAAAGAAAAACAAACAAACAATACCTTCACGTTATTTGGTAACGTATGTATCATATGAACAATTTTCACAGTTAGTTCAAGTCAAGAAATCTTTTTGTTTCGTTTTATTTTATTCTAATGTTACATTAAGACATAAAGTGTTGGCCCACAAAACGAAAGACAACCAATGAAAATAGAATAAATAAATATTTACACGCTTCATGGTAACGTATGTATCGGTAACGTATAGAAGTATATATATTGATGCATCTTTGAAGATCAACATTATACTGGTAAAATACAGTCCGAGCTTTCGGCCCCTGGGCCTTCTTAGGGGATTATGGACAAAAAATGCTTTTTTTCATAATCCCCGAACAAGGTCGGATTGTATTTTACAACTTTAATGTAGATCTTCAAAGATGCATCAATATATAGGCCTACTTCTATCAGTAGGACACATCGGTAACGTATATGAGCGACGTAATAACAAGCTTGCGCACATATACAACGTCGCACGTTATTACGTCGCTCATTCTTCTTTGTTACGTTAATATGATACATACGTTACTGATAGAAGTATATGTATTGATGCATCTCTGAAGATTTACATTATAGTTGTAAAATACAATCCGGCCTTCTTCGGGGATTATGAAAAAAAAGTTTTTTTTTTTTGTTCATAATCCCCGAAGAAGGCCCAGGGGCCGAAAGCTCGGATAAAGTTTTAAAGAGTTTTAATCTGTGTAACAGCGGAGTAACTTCATCAGCTGTCTTACATGATAACATTTAAATTAATTCGAGGTACTAGTAATGCACACATAATTGTAAATTAACTGGCGCTTCTTTATATTCATAGCAAGGCTTTTCCCATCGAGCCGTCCAGCCGTCATTTGGACGGCCGATGGCATCACCGGACGGCCTATATTCTTTAAGACGGCTGGACGGCTTACGATATTTTTTCTTTTCTTTTTTTTTTGAAAAATGACTGAATAGGCTATAGATATGCACCCTAACTGAATGGAACAATTTTAAGAATGGATCAAGGAGGGCCTATTACAATAACAACATCAAACAACTAACAATATCACCTGCGGCAAAAGATATCATGAAAATTAACTTTTTAACTTAATAGATAAATCTAGTAATTATTTTTCAGTGAATTAAGTTGCTAGACTAGCAGATGACATTTAATTAAAGTTCCACTTGGACAACAATTTTAATGGGCCTCAGTATTTAGTATGTGAACTCACCCAGTGAAAGACATTTGCCATGGAAAAGATCATTGTAATATGCTGTCCTCGGCTTAAATTTAAGTATGTAATACAGAAGCGAAAGTTTATAAAAATAAGAATATGATTCATAATATTCGCCTCAATTAGTGTGCATTACGTTCCGCGTGTGCATTCTTTGTTGCGAACGAACCCGAAGTCAAGAAGCGGCCAGATACCAAACACGAAGTTTTCGTCACTTCAGGCATTTCAGTTCTAGTTGAGTAGATTTCTTCATTCGGGGCGATTTTTCTATTAATGTTTATAGAAGATAACCAACTCGGTATTTATAAGATCAGTACAGCTATGGCCGCTGCATGGTATGTTTTCTATCGACTTTTTAACAAGAACAATGATGCAGCAAACGATCAGAGCGATGAAGTTCAAGGTTACAAGAAAAAACGTCACACACCCTTATCGGCAGAAATCCACAAAATATTCACAACCTATCTCTCACCTGAACCTGTCGAGGAAAATAACGATCCACGAACGCCACGAAATAGACACAATCTGGAACGCCAGCTTTTCCACGCCGGGTTTAAATTGGATGTGGAATCGCCGTCAAGGCGACTGGAGAATTTCAAATCTTGGGCGTGCAAAATGACCGTGAGGGAGAATCAGCTGATTGAAAAGAAAAGTGGCAAACTCATTGTGTCGATTGAAGATTTCCCAGACGTAATTAGAAAAGCACACTGCGACGATCAAACTGGCCTTCACTTGGATCTGCCGGCTACAATAGAAAAGGTTTGTAATCGCGAGGATTTGATATAATATCAGTAAATTAAAGGCAACAACCACAAACATTCAGTTTTTCATTTTTTCCTGTGGGTGTGTATTTAACTGTCAATCTGTTCCTTGATAAAACAGATACAACATAATGACAAAAAACAAAAAAAAATTCATCATACTTATAAATCATAAGCAATCCCATTAATGCACTACATGCCCCTGAGGACTCTGTGTCAGATGCCAAAATGTACATTAAATAATATTTAATAAGATAGAGTGGTAATAAGACATTTATTAAAAAAGTTGTGATTGTCGCCATCAGATCAAGGAGAGGTTCACATTTGGCCACAGAAACTTTGGAATGAATGAGGCAACAGTGAAAGAGGAGTTAAACAAGTGTAATCACCCTATCTGCAAACCTATCTTCAAGCAGTACCGAAAGGCAAAGAAAATGGGTAATCAAATTGGTTTTCTTTTTGCTTGGGTTATTAATGATTGTACATAAGTCTGTTGTTTTATGTTTTAAGCCCATATGCAGTCATGTTTTGTAGAATTTGGAGGGCATATACAGGAAGAACAAAAAGTTACTGAGGCTTTCCCTTATTGTTTCAGTCAAATATGAAATATTTGAAATACATTTTCAGGTCAAGCTGATGCTACAACAAGCAGGCAGTCATTTTGCCAAGATGCCCACAACGTCCACTCTGACATGTCCTTGACCTCTTTGACCCCTGTGACCTTGGAGGAGAGAAATGTGGAGTCATCATCATCATTGACCAGTCTGACTCCATTGACCATGGACAAAAGTCTGCAACCTCTGTCCATCATGTCCAGTGCCACCAGTGCCCAGTCCTCACCTTCTTTGACCAGTTTGGCTCCAGTGACCATGGGCAAAAGTCTGCAGTCTCTGTCCATTATATCCAGTGCCACCAGTGCCCAGTCCTCACCTTCTTTGACCAGTTTGGCTCCAGTGACCATGGCAAAAGTCTGCAACCTCTGTCCATTATGTCCAGTGCCACCAATGCCCAGTCCTCACCTTCTTTGACCAGTTTGGCTCCAGTGACCATGGGCAAAAGTCTACAGTCTCTGTCCATGATATCCAGTGCCACCAGTGCCCAGTCGTCACCTTCTTTGTCCAGTTTGGCTCCAGTGACCATGGGCAAAAGTCTGCAACCTCTGTCCATCATCTCCAGTGCCACCAATGGCCTGTCCTCTTCTTCTTTGTCCAGTTTGGCTCCAGTGACTGTGGGTAGCAGTATCATAGTTCAACCACCTTCCTTGATCACACCACTTATGTCTACTCAAGATCCAGATAAGGTCAGCAGTCCATCCTAGGGCGTTTCTGAGGTTATTTTACTCTTAACCAATGTTAACTAGGCAACTGATAGCTACTGAAATATATACTAGCTTGTTTTCATTTAATAAAAAGAAACCAGAGAAGGCAAATTTCCAGTTGACAGAACTGAGGAATAAGTTCCAAAATTGGTGACCAAGGATATCTTTTAGCAATTTTCCAATTTTTTTTACTCTGGGTCCTGTTTGGCAAAATTTTAAAGAGCTTATAATTATCCTGAAAATTTGATCTTGACTTTAAGACCACAATTTAAGTCTGCTTTGACCTAGGATAACAAAGTTGTGAGAACATTAAAATATTTATTGTACCAGTTTTGTGTCATGAGTTGCTGTCAACTAAATCTTTGGTCTGAAAGGCTTCATTCAGAACAGGGGACTAACTTGTCTGAGGGTCAAATATGGCTGACCTACGTGAATACTTCTTGCTTAATCCCCACAGGGAATCTATTCAGTGTCGAATTGGGAATCAAGTGATAATTAAGCTTTTTAGTGGGTCGCCATGTTTGATGTGGATCTGTTAGTGTGCTGTTCTGAATATGCTCATAGGCTCATAGCCAAGTTTCAGACGTCCTTACATGATATTGGCTCCTGGTCTCGGCCTAAAGGTATTCAAAAAGTTGATTAGCAATGCATTACTGTTGTGTGTTGATGTTGATTTTAATATTTCTTTCTAACATTTCTTCTTTTTCTGTGTTTTTTCAAGTTGTTATCCTTTTTTGTTGAGGAGTTTAGAGGAACTAAACAGGCTGTAAATTGACAACAATCTAAACAGTGGGGTAAGTTTTTTGACAGGTTCATCTTATAATTATCCTTCAGTTAGGTATGTGACTAAGTTGGCTGAAGTTAGAGATGTATGTTGTTTGAAGAAAAAACCCTGTGTCAATGTGACATCTTTCCAATCTTTGGCCACATGTACATAACGGCAATAACTTGGCAGCAAGAATGAGCTAGCATACTTCTTGAGCTGTGCACAAACATTTTGATTAACAACTTTACAGATTTAATTTTTCCTTTTCTTTTACAACTACAACTATAGTTTTGAAAATCATTGGTTCAGTTGCACTATTTGAAGCAATTGTTATTATTTGTAATTTCAGGCACAGCAGGTCCAGGATGTTTTGCCTCCAATGTTGCAGTGCATTCCAGTAGAAGATAGCTCTGAAGTTGCCACCCCAGTCTTGGCAGATGATTGTGAAGAGATGGCAATAGATGAAGGTAAACATCTTTTATTATTTAATTATTTTGTTTTCATTCTTTATAATTTTATTTATATATTGGAAAACAGAAGAGGTATCTGTATACTTGTCACAATTGAATGCCTGCCTTTGTCAGTGAAAGAATAGAAATTAAATTTACAGCAAACAACTGAAAACCATTTAATTGTCTCACAGATTTTGATATTTGCTTAAATATTTTCCTTTTTTTAATCTAACACCCAATACATGTCATTTAATTTATACCAGAACCAGGAACATATTTTAATCAAAACATATCAAACTGCATGTGCTTATTCTAGTATTTCATAATAAAGTTTTGAATACCTGCATTCTTTAAATTTGCAGAAAGACAAGAGCTACCACTGGCTGATGTTACACCCACAGATATGAAGGCAACACCTGAGGAGAACATAGAACTTACAGATCAATTCTTCATCCTGTCTGAACGTAGTGCTGTCACAGAGTGTGTGGATGAAGAGACGAGAAAAGATGAAGGTAGTTTAATGTGTCTAGATTGATAGATCTTGTACAACAACAAGGAATAGGCCACTCTAGATGGTAATCTTGATAAAATGTGTGCATTTATCATTACAACAAATATTTGTCTTGCCTCTCTGAAATATAATCATTGTGCTTCTTGAATTTGGAACTTTTTCTAAACTTTATTATAATAGTTGTTTAAATAAATTTTTAGAGAGGGAAAACAATTTAAATGCACATATGTGGCTCCAATATTATGAGCTAATTATATGTCCCAGGAAAAATAATTGGACTAGTGCAACATCTAGATTTTCAGCAGACCCTTGTGCATGTAAAACCATCAGCTTTTACCATGCTTCTGTACGTGAATGACAAAACTAAAAAAATACATTATTACTGTGCAAGGTATATAGTTATTTCTGTGGAAATTTTTTTCATTCTGTCACCCCAGATCAGTGATGATAGTTTGTCACTGAAAAAATTGTCACATTTCAGAGCACACAGAGGTCAGCTCGCCAAAGGAGCAAATGGCTCACGCTGAGGACACTAGAAACAGCAGCGACCCAGAAGAAAGTGAACATAAAGTTTTTGATCATAAAGATAAACTGACACACAGAAGTATGCACCTTTGACTTAATTACATTTCTTAAACACAATTTTTTCATCTAAATATTTAAGATAGTTGTAAAATTCTTTGGCCCTTCTCATTTAATTTTTGTTCTTACATTCACTAACGCCAAAAAACAACATAGTTTAATCTATGCTCCAATATTTTCAGGAATTTTGAACAGAAAGATGAATGGACTTCTGTGTGTTGTACAGAGTATGAGGAAGGACATCAAACCAGCTTACGGAGGGAAGAAGAGAAACTTGGAGAAACTGAAGAAAAGTAAAATCTACCAGTCTCACCTCTCTCTCTCTGTTCACAAATTCTTTTCACTTTCTATTTTTCCACACCCATCTCTCTCATTATGCCCTCTCCAATCACTCTCTATTACTTGTAAAAAAGCGAAAAACATAAAGCACCTTTATTTTTTGTGTTGTAGAACTTGATAACATTTTCTGTGTAGTTTCAAAATGAGAATTCCACTTAAATTGTTTTAATATTTGTTAACAATTCTTGTAAAAAATCACAGTGGAGTATCCTTGCTCGTTTCAGAAATCAGCCTTGGCCTGACTGTGTTGGATGCTATGCAGTTCCATCTGTTGTTAAGTGAAGACACAATTGCTTCCTAATAAGACTTACAAAGAGCAGTGTACAACTAGTAACATCTATTGTTAAGTGAGAACACTAACTTCATTGACATGTGAAAATGGGCTTTTTTAAAATCAAGTTTTTGATGCAGCAAGCCTTTAAACATTTTTTTTGATTTACCAATAGTTGTTGAGTCACAGTGTCAAGAATGGAAAAAAACTGGTTTTGAACACGTAGAGAATTGTAATTGAATGATGGTAGTATTCCTGGGGAAATGCCAAGTGCTCCATCATGACTTGCGAAAAATAAAAAAATATTTAAGAATAAGTGAATCACTTTTCTGGTGTAATTTGACTCAGTCACATTTATTTTGTTTTTTAAAAGTAAATATGCATAAACGTTACACAAGTTGTTCATGTGACAAGCAATCTGGAATAAAAAGCTGGTGTCCATTATTACTTATATATGCTATAATACTTAACTCATAACGTGCCATATTCTACATTCTGTTATGTTATATTTTTTGAGTTTGTTAAAGGGATAATAACTCTTCGTTTCGGCCAAAAAATGAATTTTCCTGGAGTAAACAACAATTTTCCCATACTTACCAAGGGTTAATGAATCCATTTTTACATTCAAAGTTAGTCCCTGGTTTTTTTCTTAAAAGTTTGATTTTTTGTTAAAATCTCTTAAGAGATTTTAACAGAGTATAGCCATCAATGGAGGTCACGTGGTCTAAAGACAAGCTCAGATATCAGAATAATAGCTATAACTGTCGTTTTTGTGGTAAAACAGAATATATTATATTTCTATGAGTTATTCACAATGTTTTTATTGTGAAATATAGATATCATACGAAGAGTTATTATCCCTTTAAGTTTTGTTGAAATGTGCCAAGTGAAATTGGGCAGCAATGAATAAAAGTTGACAACAATTTATCCACTTGTATTTTTCTAGTTGTTTCTTCTTTTAAGAATGAGGGGAAAATCTATTACAGTGATGTTACAGCCTTTTGCATAAACTTTGTGTATTCACCATGTTTGTGTGTTACTTTAGCATTATTTTCTTAGACTACATTCCTGGTGCTTAAGAGATTAACCCTTGTTTTTTAAAAGCTTCACTCAAGCAGTACACAAATTTAAAGTCACATTTCAGGGTATCTCATGGGGGATTTCCATTTCCTTTGATAGTCTTACAAAAACATGTTACTTAATGAGACAATTGAAATAAAGTACTCACTTATCATCCAAAATAAATATAAACTGCTGAGGTCTGAAACACTAGCATAAAACTTTGGAGATTACCAGTTCAAACCAAACTGTATCTAGTTCTATTTAAAATATGCAATTAATATGCTATGATTGCAAAATGCATAATTTAAAAATAAAATAAAAACCAGTATTAAAGAAAAAATTGACTTGATTAAAAAAACCCCTTAAAGTCCTTTACAATATGAATGTTGAACAAAGCAGTTGCACTAGAAATACAAATTTTCAACAAAACTGGAATCGGTCATCTGAAATTACTTATGAATACTTTTGGCAGATACATGATTACTAAGCAAAGGGTTATAATATACATGCCTAATAAAATATAAAACGGATCATTTACATATACTGTTCATTTACTCTGACAACCAACTAGCCACAGCCTTTATTGCACTTTTTCAACTTTACCATTCTGGAAAATACTGAAATAATACATCTTTTGCAAAAGGATACATAAATTAAATAACAAACTATATAAATATGTCCTAAAAATTTTCAGCTAACTGGACTTTTGAGCTGCCATGGGCCAAGAATGTATTGCCCCAAAACATCAAAGAAAATGCAAGGATGAGATTTTTCTATCAGAGTATTTCCATCTTTTTGAAAACCAAAAATATCATTGGCCTAGGCAGCCCCCTGGACGCATGGCATATTTTTTTACTTTTTCATTAAATGACCGTATCATTCCCGAAAGTGAATAATAAAAAGTGGCAAGGAATTGTACAAATTTACAAAGTTTCACTGACAACACTTCTGTTATACTCAGTCAGGCATTTGTCAAGAGGCCAAGTTCAAGACTGCAGACTGCCATTATCCAAACATGTAAATGTGCATTCATGATTTTCTTACCCTTTTTTTCAAATATGGATCACGAATTACTGTAAATCACAAGGTAAATCAGTAACAGAATAAACCTTCCATACCTTGCTTCAATTCTCATGAATTTTTACTATGAGCAGTACAGTTTATGGATCCCACCAGATTGATTGGTCTTAACATAATTACCCTACTGGTTTTACTCCTTTCACAAGCTCCAACATACCAATCAAAATTTATCTGGCACATTTCAAAAGAACTGTTAGAACTAGTACTTAATTTCAGGCTTTTTAAGTGACCATCATTGACTGACATTATAATTTCGAACTGTTACAGAATACAGTGACACAAAAATGTCTGAACAAATGCATGACCATTAATGAACACAAAGAAGAGATAGGAATAAGGTTCATCTTTCACAGATGTGGCAGCCTCCTGAACTTTCTAAACAAAATTTCCAAAAATTTGTCCACCAGCTAACCTGTGTTTAAGAATGATGCCAGTCAGCTTCTTCACTGAAAAGTTCCCACATATCCCTGCTAACGTGAGCATTATGCACATGTGAAGATGATATGAAAATGATAATACAGGGTTACATTAGGTATTGAAACACAGGGTAAAACCAGCAGTCTGGTATTATCATAAACGTTCCAATACAAACACAGCATCATCCAGTACATAGAAGGAAGAGTTCAGATCGCCCTCACACAGATATGGAAGCCTGGTAAACTTCAGTAACTTGAATCCTACTGGTTTAAAGATGTCTTCTACAAAACTGGTGACTTGGTCCTCGAAGGTTTTCCCCTGGATGTAGAGGTATTCTGCAGGAATGTGATCTTGATCTGTGAGAAGGATGAAGTCAGTTTATTGAAAAGTCGACTTTAATTAATTAACAATAAATAATGTAACTAGAATTCAATTACTTACATTTCAGGTAAAACCTACATTATTTACTGCTCCTGGGAACCAGCCTCTGGTAAACAGTATTTTTTCATCACACTATTCAAATCAATTGCCAATCATAAGCTAATTTTATGAAATCAACTGCTAATTTCCAAAAATGAAGAAAAGGTAATTAAAAAATATCAAGTAATCATTCAATCCTACTCATTTCCCAAAAGGATCAAAACACATAAATATATCTAAATTGTAGGAAATCTAAGATAATCAGGTTTTTTGTTTTCCTCTGAGAAACAAAGAAATCTATACTCACTGTACTCAACATAAGGACTAAAAGGGAACACTGTTGCCACAATAAGGCGCCCCGTGCCTGGTTTTAGTACTTTGTGTATATCTCGGAGCAGTGTCATTGGACGATCACAGCGATCCAGTAGGTTAAGGCAGCTTATGACATCATACTGGACACTGTTATTGTGCCACTCATCTATATCCAGTAGGCTGAAATATGTGGTGTATAATACTGAATGCCACATACTAAACCAGTATCGCCATCTATTAATAAAAGTTAATGTTTATACTGTACACCATCAGAGACAAGGTACCACAAACATCTTGAGAAGCCTTAAGACTTCCTAATATAATAATAATGTTTATACAGCTAATTTAAATATACCAATGAAATAAATTTAATCGAAAACTAAATTTATTTTTGAGAAACTATTATGTGCGTGTGTGTATGTATGTGTGCATTCAAACCTACGTATAGCCCAGCTCAGTGAGTCTCTGTCTCATGGGGGAAGACGCTTCAGTGGCATACACCTGTTCAAAATGATTCTGCATTTTCTCTGTTACTTTACCATCTCCAGCACCTTTTACAACAAACAACAACATCAAGTACACACTATGTTTACGATTACTCTCAAAAAGTCACATTTTACATAAACACCATTTTAAAAATGTGAAAATGTCACATTATTTGGTTCCAGAAAGATTGGTCTACTTCAATTAAGTATATTTTGCAAAACAGACAGTAATATATGAATTAGAATTCTAAGAAATTTATATATATATATATATATATATATATATATATATATATATATATATATATATGCTACAAAACCAGCAAATGCATGTACACACACAATTTCATGATTACAAGATATCATAAATACAGACCTATACAGATTAAAATATCATTGCATGACACCATTGTAACAGTGATGGTCCTATATATCTGACATCATTGGTACAATTACAACAAAACCAAACTGAAGTTTGATATATAATTAACTGTAACTGTAAAAATCACTGTACAAATTAACAATGACTCCTGGCTGAATGCTGACAAAGTATTACCTAGATCCAGGAGTGTGGCTGCTTTCCAGCTTTCATCAATATCCAGAAGATCTTGAAACTGTTGCTTGGAAAATACAAACATGGACCCTCTCCTCAGTAACCTGACAAATAAGGTGTATTCTGATAAATGATATAGGATAGGTTAGAATTGGACTTACTTAAAAGTGATAAGATTTTGGTGAAGATCCATCATTTAATTAATTAATTAATGGTTAATTATTAATGTAATTATTTGTCTTTGTGAAGGTCTGCAATCTCTGAGTGCTTTGCTCTGAGATACATTTTAAAATTGAATTATCATTTATTTGGAACAAATTATAACAATTAATACAAACATATAGCCTAACTTGAATATCTGCGTAACTCAAATTGTTTGGTCCCAGTTATTCCGAGACTAAAACTGGGTTCCCATCGTACTAGCAGGATCAATCTAACTCTGAGTGGATTCTGGCTAAATTGCATTCAGTTTTAATGGTTTAAATGTCTGTCACACCCACTGAAGGGGGGTAAATAACTTTTGTGCACATTTAAACTGAATGCAATATTTACCTAGAATCCCCTTGGAGATAGATTGATCCTGCTAGTACGATATGGCTATGGGAATGGTCCCTAAAGTTACAGCACAGGATTCGCTAACTAAGGACTATTCCTCTTACCCATTAGCATCAGTCTGAGTCATAAACCATGTAAGCACTGACTTGGCCAGAGTGTGAGCCAGCTGTGTAAAGATGGAGTCTGCCTTGTTGAAGCAGTTCTCTAGGAACTGACATGTTTCTGGGTCCTGGTGTGTCTGTAAGAACATGTCACACATCTCCTTGCTCAGCCTCTGCTGGTTAAACTGATACCACTGGAACAATTATGATACAATATCACACAAGTGTGTGTGTGTGTGTATAGACTGTGCAAGGTGTCTAGTTTGTAGCATCCTGATGCCTACTGCAGCAAATGCTGCAAACACATAGACATCAATGTAACAGTAACAAACCAGTATATATCACTGTAACTGTTAGTACAGTTACTGTTCATTAATTTTTTTTGTATGCAAGATGGCAAAGATTAATCTAATAACAGATGTGAAATATCATATGAACACACAGCACAAGTAAAAAGCTCTAAATCTCAACCTGTGGCGAGAGGAACCCTAAACTCTCAATTCACATGCAAGAGAAAAATATATTCTTTTACTATGAGACAAATCTACCTTACCACAATCATTGCTAGTCAAATCCCTGCTTTCCACATTTCTAACTTGGCAATGTCATTCATTTACATTAATCATGAACCCCTATATGCTTATCATCAATACTTCAATAAAAGCTGTTCACATAACAAAGAAAATCCATTTAAATAAAACATATAAATAGACATCACGCGTAATAAAATTTGTTTTAAAAGCATGAAATGCCAGCAACACTGTCTCACAGAAATTTACATTGTAATAAAGCAAAAGACGACAAAAGATTATTTAATTTCTGAGACTTAGGTCTTTTTTAGTCTACTTTCGTGCGCACAGCAAGATGATTAAGAGGTTTGACATGATTTGTAACCGACTTGACTTGTACCTGCTTTGTGTCCACAGTTGCAGTTGTATATAGACTGTAATGGCGGATTACAGAGACAAATGCAAGCACTATAATATATGTCTAATTGAAAACTATACAACTGACAGTTTGACATATCGGAAAGTAATTTCCTGCCAGGTCCATATACTACAGTAATAGTCAAAGGGCCTGTTCAGAACCAAGCTGATCCGTGGAATAAGTGATCCACATATCAAATATGGGCAACCCACTTGAAAGCCTGCCCAAATCCCCAAGGAGAATCCATAGGGGAATATGTGGTCAGCTTTCAAGTGGGTGAGCAGTATTTGACCTGTGGATCAGTTAGTCTGCAGATCAACTTGGTTCTGAACAGACCCCAAAAACCATTACTAGCTAGTAACCATGGGATCATAATGTATCAGCACAAGTTCTGGTGAAACAACAGAGACATGCTGATGGAAGGGGTGACATTCAGGGTGAATTGATTATGTCGTTTTCCACATATCACCAGAAAGTCACTGTCATGAACCGAGGTGGGCTGTTTACACTTTGACCAGATACAATGTGCATAACAATAATTACTTCAAGTTTTAAAACAACTCTCTTCTTTTATAATATTTCACTTTTTTAAAAGACTGATCAGTGTCAAACTATCACCAAAGTGTACTCATGACAAGAAACTAACTAATCTTTCAAGACTCATGAATCAACACTTTAAATTATAAATAACTTTTAATCTATTTTATTTATTTATTTATTTATTTATTTATTTATTTTTATTTTTATTTTTTTTTGGGGGGGGGGGGAGGAGGAGGAGGGGTCTAGACATTTTTTCTTCAAATTGAATGAGAAATCAACACAGTTTCCTAGTGTCATGCCCCCTTTATACAGACCTTCGATATGATCTTTATTCAATATACAAAAAACAACATAGTCACTTTGAACATCTTACCAGAATGGATAAATTTAAAACACTAATGACTGGTAAGAAGAACGAACATATTATTGCTCTTGCCAAGTATTTATGGTTAGCCTTCCAAAAAAGGGACTGTGCTGCACCCATAACCAGTTGAGTAGGTAGAGCCATTTGTTTTGTATTTTTTTCATACAAGGAGTCATACAATATCACTATTTAACATAATTCATATTTATTTATATTTGCATTCCTTTGTACATTTTCATCTATCCATGTAGATGCATACGTTACAATGAATAAAGCATATATATAACATCTTTTTTTTTTTAATAAGAGACTTAGGGTGCATTTACGCAGCATACTAACTAGGTTGGTACACCTCTGCAGGGGTATTATTGCTAAAGTGCAATCAGCGAAATTAGCTTAATCAGCACACAATAGTTAATTACCCCCTAGCTGCTCCAGGATGTTTGTCAGAAAATTATGCAAATCCTACTGATTGCACTTGAGGAAAAATCCCCTGCAGATTTGGACCAACCCAGCTAGTATGATGTGAGAAACAGAATGTGGTTTTATAAGATAGTGCAGAACAGTCCATCACTAAGATCAAGACTACCTCGCTGATATCTGAAAGCACTAACTACCAGCATTTAAAACACCCCAAGAGGACACTAAAAGATGCCATAATGAAACCCAGTGAAATAAAACTTATATTGCAATCGTACTTGGAGTTCATGAAAAACAATTATCCCTCAGCTCATGAGAAAAAAAGGCAGAAAAAAAGAGGCAGAGAGAGAGAGAGAGAGAGAGAGAGAGAGAGAGAGAGAGAGAGAGAGGAGGGGGCGGGGGTCATTACCGAGCTGTGGTCGTTGTCTCTGTGCTGCCTGTCCTCGAGCATGCGCTGGTAAACTGTTCTAGCAAGATGACTGCGGAATCTATAACTGGACTGATGCTCTGGGAGCGCCAGACTGGACATTTGGTCTGTCATTGCACTTGCTTTATAGGTGAGTAAGATTGTGCATAGAAATATAAATTTACACACTCGTCGTCTTTCATGTCTCAGCATCTATCTACTGCTAGTCTGGTAAACTCTTGCTCTTGATTTGTCTCAGTCAATCGTCAATATGTATTACTATGATGTCGTGGGTTTTTCTCACCTCCGCCATCTTTAAATGTCTACATATGAAAACGAGGCTCGGGATTCCCTTTGGGGAAACCCTGCCTGACCTGATTGCACAAGTGCTCAGGGTTGGTTTAAATAATATTTTTGTATGCTATAATTGAATTATTAAAATGTAATTATATTTAAATTATCTTTTTGTTTCTTGAAATTTTCTCTTTATAGTTTAAAGAGCAGATTTATGCGATAAATTTCATAATACGGTACACCTGAGGTTAAAAAATCGATTTTCCGCGTTTTATTTCTATTTTATTTCTGTACCCAAGTCAACCTTCCTTCCGTTCACTAATGGACAAGCATGATTTGGGACTAATTTTGTAAAATCAATGCAATTACGTAACAAAATTAAAAATTGACAGATTTTACAGCTGTTTTGTCAAGAAATGAAGAGAGAGAGAGAGAGAGAGAGAGAGAGAGAGAGAGATTCAAACTGATATAGACTACACCGTTTAATTATCTGGTAAATGTTTTTAAGCAAACATTTAGTTTCCATTTGTACATATTGCATTTTTTTTTATTTCAGGAAAGGATGAAATTTACTTCAATTGGTAGATGCTATTATACTGGAGTTTCTCAATTTCCATATCAATCATTCATTGAAAATCGGATCAAAATCACAGGTATGCATAAAGCATAAGCAAGGTGTCAAAAAAGGGCATGAGATGAAGAAGTTAATCCTCCATCTTTTTTTCTTCCATTTTCCCTGCTATATCACTAATAAATTGACGTCAGCTTTGCACTTCGTATTTAGAAAATATTACTATACAGACATTTTTTGTAACATGCCCAATATTTGTAGGTCATTTTCTTCCTGTAATACATTTCTCAATATTTCATGCAATGAAGCAGCAGCAATAGCAAAAACATGCACGTTTACTAGTAACATAGTTATAAGAATAAAATTCTGGTTTAGAGTTTTGCATTGCAATTAACATTTTATGGATTTTCTTGAGCATCTATTATTCTTGCCTTTTTAAAATGGCATACCAAAAACAACACAAATCTCCCATTTTTGTATTTCCTTTTAATGAGCACAAGCAATACTACATATAGTTATTGACAGCGTAGGGGTAGACTAGTCAGTAAAGGGACTGGATAATCATAATGAAAAATAACAAAATATAGAACAGACTGTCTATACCCAGTGCTTCTGATAATATGTATATATATAATATGTTTGTATAGAATATAATATACTTCTTTCTATGTTAATAAAAGAACAAAAAATAATAATAATAACTGTAATAAAGTTTTCCACAGTCTGAGACCAGAATTAAATCATATCTCCCTTGTAAGTGTTACTTGGAACTTGGTTGCTAGGAGACAGTGTGTAGAAGTGGAAACAATGTGTAGCTTTTAAAAATGCTTCGAGTAAAAACTACGTGTTAGTGGCATACATATAAGTACATATAATGTATCTACTGTGCAAAATGTCTGGTTTGTAGCATCCTGATGCCTACCTCAGCAAACGCTACATACACAACCCAAGTGTGAATACTAGGCTCTGGCAGTGTGAACTGTATCCATAGGGATAACAGTACAACCCACACCGTATCCACTTCCACTTCAGTGTCTCCAGGCACATACCCATACCTCAGCCACAATATACCGTCTCAATCCTTACTTCACCATATGTACAAATATGATTGCAAATGCGCACTACTACCTCAGCAAAAAACCTGCCAAAATCTAATAACCGCCACTTTTCTGAGGTGAAAAAAAAAGGAAAAAATATGCTTTGAAACTGCAGTGGGATCTCCAGCCAGCTGCAGCTTTCTGCATTTCAGCCCCAGTAAAAGTTTCACCTTCTGCCTCGCAGAATTCTCTAAACTGTATAAGCGTAACAAATGCCTTGAGCTCTTTGTAACAGAACTACTAATAATTCTAATTATCATTTTAATAATGACTGCTAAATGCTGTAATGTTTATCATATGTCCAATGCATGTTCCTGTACACTGTTACTTTACCATAAAAATATTGTGCAAAATAACAGTCAACCTAAAAATGTAACAATATCTCTCTAAGTCACTACTGTTTATTTTTTCGTATCACGATCCATTTTGAGGTTCTCTCAGTTACTTTAGGAGGTATATTTAACAAATTGTTTGACAAATTTGCGATGTTCAATCACATGATCACAATGTAACAGAATATTCAGATTCCATGCAGACAATATCGGTTACAACAAAACATGAAACTGTATCATAATCTTAACCATTTCACATCTGACCGGACTCAAGCATAAAGCAAACCTCAACGTAATCTAAATACTTATTTGTGCTTTTTCTTTACAACTACGTAACAGTTAATCTATCTAGCTAGATTTCTATGGCAATCTCGTTACTGCTTTGCAATAGATGATGCCATAGAGGTAAAAATGATGCAGCTCTTAGCATGCTTATGGAAGCCTTTGCACACTACAATGTCAACTACTACATACAAAATAAGTTGTCGGAGTATCTTACGCCAGGAACTCAGTACGTCATTGGAAACATATAGAACAGTAATAAAAATCCTAGCAAATATACATGTTAACATGGCTGCATAACAAAAATCTTGAGCTCTTTTTATTTTATTTCCAGCCAACAGAGTGACTTTGAGTCACTATTTTAATATGAAAAAAATGAAAAAACATGTCAGAGAAAGTGATGTCGGCATGGCCAACTTTAACTTTCTTGTTAGCTTTTTTTTCCATCTTAATATGCACCTTGGATTCATCACCTTCATGCCTCCCATTGCTTCTTCATTCAGTAATAATGTCAACAATATGCATAATAAACCATAACAAATTGAACATATAGTTGTTCTAGTCGCCTCTACCAATGTTTCTACCTCTAGGAAAAATTGCCACTCACGTTCTATAAATTTATGCTAAGCACCAGTTTCTACTTAGGCTGATAGCCAACAAGGTAACAAATTTTCATAATTCACATAAATCTTTGACTCTGGTAACCATCACATCTTTGTCAGTCCAATATTGGACATTTTCAGTCAAATTCTTTACTTCAACATCTAAGAGAACTGAAAATATAATTCAACCAAAATTATTTTAAAAAACCAAAAGCTAATTCCAAACAAAAACATGCAAAACTTGAAGTTCAAATTTGTCCTCTGCTACTCTAAATTGTCAATTTGTCATCAAATACAACGACTTATATATACAAAATTTGACATGATTTCTTTTTTTCCTTTGGCATATGCTAAAAGCTCAGCTTCTGGTGCAACCCTGCCCTCGAGTTATACATCCCTGAATATATAGATTTATATGTAATTATATATATAGTTATAATATATATATATATGGTTACTAATACATAATATGATAGATAATAATAGTGCCTGACAAATCACTCAAGTAAACTGTATTGCAATAATTTCTCCACAACACGTATTACATTTGATACCATCTGAGCATCTCCTGAGCACTACAACCAACTCTCCCACGGGACTTCTGACATCAATTCGACATGCTCACAGTGACATCTACAGTTAAAACATTCAGTGACTGAACACAGATTCTTCATACACTTATATCATTCCTGACGCCTTATCACTTGACGCACTGTTAATTAATGGCTGAGCTCTTCAGTCACAGGAGATCAGTTTTTAGTCAAAACATCACAATTAATACCTGTTGCTTCTCCATTTAAAATCCTTCAAAACATATCACCGTCTTGTAGGTGGATCAGTTATCAGCCCACTAATGGACGATATGTATATAAAGTACCATATATATCTTTACAATTGTCTTAACAATATGAGGCAGTCAAACTATATAATGCATTATCAGGTGCTCAGACGTCTAAGTAAATGAAAACAAAATTATGATTACACAATATGTACACAGAAATGGTGAAATGGCTGTCCTTTTGATTACTCATGAAGTAAGTTTTCAACGACGCTTGCCTCAGTTCCAAGTCCCCACCTGATAATACAAAGTTACATTGTAACAATACTACACCCATATTAAAAGTGCACTGACACCAAGTTCCACTGTAATGACTGGACAAACATCTATAAGTCACACAGAGAGACAACTTAGAAACACAAATATTACTTTTTCCATCTTCTCCACTGTGGAAAACCGCTGTCATATGAATTGAAGATTGCCTGTATGTTGAAGATTGCCTCTAGGTTTATATTGCCGTGTTTTCACTTATTACCAATATATATGACAGGTATCTTATTGTGTTTAGGTTATTCTCCGTTTTTAAGTGATTTTGCGCAGTTACAAGTCACATGTTAAAATACTTTTACAAGTGAAGTCTTTGTGAGTTTGATTGATATTTAGTAAATGCAGCTTCTAGTACTAATTAGTGAATGAGTGCTAAAATGCACAATGTCCTCAGCTTGTGCTTTTCTTGGGCGTTCCACTTCTGGTGGCTCCCTCTGCTGACTTATTCCCTGAAGCAGCCAGTCCCATTGGAGACCGGAAGGTGCCTGCAGCCTCTGCCTTGCTGAGTTTGGCCTTGTGTGTGACAAGATTACAGTGCAGTTTATACTCCTGCAGAGTTGAGTAGCTTTCTCCACATAAGGTGCATTTATACTGCACCTGCTCGAGCTTCAAAATGGACTTCACCTCGTTGGGGTTCTTTCCGGGGTAACAAGATGCCCTCTGGTGACTGACGCAGGCATCGCGCTGGGGGAACACCAGGTGACACTTTTTGCAGACAAAACCCACGTCCACGGTGAACTCACTGGTGCACGCAGCATCACGTACACTCACAATGTTCTTGACGTCAGCCAATGAGAGACAGTCTTGTGTGTAGCGCGCCAGGGTGGTGTTCTGCTCTGCTATTTTTGAGACAACTGTTCTGATCGCTTGCTGAGGAATCTGGAGCAGCGCCAGCGGTGTGCCGTAGGTCATGGGGTCAAATGAGAACATGTTCTCCATTCCTAAAATTAGAGGAAAAACTTATACATATCCTGCCATTAGACTGCAGACAGACTGAAAAAAAGAAGTATTTTATTTTAACACATCTAATAGCAGTACTTAAGATCATGAAATCCACCTGAAATCTTAACAATGTAAACTTGAAAGACAAAAGCAAGCAGCACAGTTTTTTCATATGTCAATCTTCTGCCAAATGTCCTTAAAAAAACTCTTAAAAACCCACTTTCTCTCCTCGCATTGACACATGCACTCAACTTACCTCCAACACTATGGACCACATATATTTGCATTCCAGTATTTTTCAAATTTTTATATGATTTGGTTGTTTTTTTTCTACTTGATTGAAGCATTTTATCATTTGCTTAATTTGATGAATGGGGCAAGCAGGTGGTAACTTACCATATGGACCCCCTGGAGGTGGAAAAGGCATCCCCAAATCATCAATCATGGGTATGCCTAATGAAGAGAAAGGGCTGAGGTAAATGTAACATAGGAATGAGATTTTCACCATTTCCTCAGTCACAAGACGGACACCTTACAACAGAGCTGTATGCTATGCAGCAGCAGACGACAATGAGCTGTATCTACATACACCATGCAGCCAAATAAGAGGTGGGGAAAGGCTAAGGAGGGACAAGTACACATCCTTGCAAACTGGCAACGTCCCCCCTCCCTCCATAGATGTTTCTTCCCATCTATATCTAAGCCCATTTTCATGCAAGCAACAAGTTTTACAGCCCTAAATGTGTAAAATATTTAGCACAGGTTCTGTCAAATTACAAAGACTGAATATTGTTGGAATGGACGAGTCACTGCATATGAAATGGGTCCATATGGAATGGGTCCATTTCCAGGGAAACAACTTGAATGTAAATTGAAATAAAAGCCCAATGTGCCTTCATGCAGAAAATGATAATAGTAATTAGTGTTTGCACAATGATTTTCTCCATATTGACGTTTTCTTTTTCTTTTGAGGATGTGTACCTGGGACAGAGATTTTGAGCATGCAGACATCAAACCAATAGTTCATTTATCAACATGCAAAGACTTGTCATTTAAAAACTGAATGACAAATGCAATTCTATCTAATACAGCCATAAGGTGTCAAATTAAGTCAAATTAACTTATTCTTTTAATCAAAATGGTTTGTACAAAAGCTTGAGGTATCATGCACTGAGTGTGAATTTTGAAACTGAAATATCTCTAAACAATGATTATAAAAGCTGAACTTATGTCTGCAAGAGTCAGTTCTGGTTTTTGATGAGAAACAGGTTAGTATGGCATAGTTGATAATTTTGTCACAGAAGAAAAATAACAATAGTAATTATATGATAAAAAAATTACAAAGAAAACAAAATGAAGAGCTAAAATGCAAGATGTGCAACTCACATAAAAATGTTTAGGTGAATATTTGGTCATCATATATTGATAAATAAGGCAGAAAAAAAGTAGAGTACCATGGACAAGTAAGGCACTTATACCACTTATAATGTTAGCACAAGAGGTAACGGATTTGCAGAGGAGAAGGGGAGAATAAAGCAGGACCAATATCAATTTAATTATAACAAACAGAATTCATCTACACGAAACAAAGTTTGGGTGTAACAAAGCTCAACTTCTACAGAGCACTGGAGGTGATATGGACAGCATGAAAATACAACCCATGTAAAAAGTGTGCCACACTAATATTTTTACTAGGAATTTATACAGAATTGAAACTATAATATATGGAGTAAGACGGTAGGACACACTCCTGACTATATCATGGGGCTGTGACCTTCGGGGATTTTTACCCATAGGAGGAAAGGCAGTAATGACCATACAAGATGGAGATCCAGTACATTTTATACAGAGTGCAGCATTTCCATGAGAAAAATTCTTCCTTGCCATCTCCCCGTGTAAGATGACTGAAGGCAAGTATCCAGGTACAAAGACTATGCACATCAATTTTGGTCAAATAATGCATGCAAAAATGCTAATATACATGCATATGCACACAGGAACAGAGAAATATTCACAGGTGAATCTGCAGCGAGTGGCAGCAGCTCAGCTTAAAATTGTGTGGGACAAATGCTGCTGGAGAAATGTGTAGGAGCAAAGTTTTTTTTTTTACCCTGCTATATAGAGCCTGAGATATTGTACAGAGACCAAGTTTTATCAACCACTTGGGAAAAGTATCTTCATTTCACATATCCACCAGCCAATGCTACACAGCTGTTAACTTCAGGGCCAGAATAATTGACTTAAAAAAATCCCACATCATTTCAAAATCTACACATGCTACTGGCTGTAGTGACTTGACGAAATGTACAAGGCAAAGAAGAGAAGTCTACTATACTTGTACAATAGCTTACCTTAAGAAACATGCAGCAGCTAAGCAACACCAAACACAATATTCATACTCCACCCAACAGAAAATCTCTCTCCACCACAACACAGGCCATAGTGACACAGTTCTCATCACTTTCTTCAAATATGCACTTACTAAATTGTATTTCACTAAAAATTTTGAACAAAGATGAAAAATTCCCTTACTTTGCTCAGCAAATATATAACAAAACATGAGGACAATTGCTGGGTTTGTCTTATTTCACTGGGGGTGAAGGGAGGGGGGGGGGGGTAAAACGAGTGCATGTACCCACTGTGCAAACCTGGGATCCCCCTTAATCAGCTTATGGAGACTGGTGTTAACCCATACACTTTTGTTATTTATTACAAAAATGAAATATCATATGAGATATGGTCACTATGATCTGTAACATTCTAGTAAAACTCTTTCACCATCATTTAAACAAAAATGTCACATAAAATATGCAATATGATCATTAATAGTATGTTTAAGTTATATCACAGAAAGATGATGTTCTAATATTGTACAGAATATACTCAATAATTATTTCTTTAACTTGCAACATAACCCTGCCTTAATTTATTGAGTGAGCTCATATTCTGCAATTACTTCAGCTGTAGAGTCAATTAGAACATTTATGTCATCTAACTGGGTAGCTGCAATCAGCAATCAAACCCATTTTAAAATTACATAAATTTGTCAGACAGACAAATATAATTAACACCAAACTTTTTGCATATTATTATTCAAATTCATTAATGCAGATGTCAGGTTTCCTCATCTTGATTAGGATTCTAATTGCATACAAGCAATCCACCATTTTTGTTAACTCACTTCATTAATTAATATGTTTACAGAAAGATAGAGTTGTAATTTATACTTTTGAGAAAAACAAGTGAGGAAATATACCAAAACTTAAATCTTTAAACAAACAGTGATATTGATTTTACAAGAAAAACTTGTTGGTTTCAATTTCACAATTTCAAAAAAAAAAAAAAAAAAAAAAAAATAAAAAAAAAAAAAAAATAATAATAATAATATAAACTCATTTGCTTAAAGACATATTTCAAATATCTATTATCCAGAGAAAGATTGCAACAAACTGGCATCTTTGCAAACAAACATTAAAAACAAAACTATGAACACCCCCACATACACCCTAATTTAAGCCTACCTGGAAAGAACCCTGGTGGCATAAATGGCATCCCCATACCAGGGAACATACCAGGCATACCCGTGTACATCAAGGGGTACATGCCAGCCTCGCCTCCTGGCACTGGGCCAAATGGGGAGAGCAGACTAGATGCCACTGAGCTGTCACTGGCTGAACTAGATGATGAGGTAGCAGAGTCCTTCTTTTTTCCTGAAAAATAAAGAAATTTTCCATAAAAAATTTATACAGACTGCGCAAAGGCAATTTATATGTATTGGCTAAAAATTGTGTTTAGAAGTCAACTAGTCTGCAAATGAAGTACTTCACTAAATCATGGCCTGCTTGGAGAATGATCAAAACAGAATGGTTTTATTAAATTTTTCATGAAATGGATATAGTGGTGGAATTAGGCAGTATATACCCCCTTGATCTATTTACATACAAGAAATAATTAAGATTGTGAGATAATGCTGATTCAGTGTATGCAGTCACATAATAACATTACTTTTGAACACTTGCAGCTTTAAATTTCAAATCAAACACACAGTTTTTTTTTGTTAAACACAATCAACATCAAGGAAATGAAACTTTTTTTTCACTTTTCAATAAAATGTATTGCTATTTTGAGGATTATCACTGTAATCTGTGCCACAGCTTCTTAGCATACAATATGCCATTGGTGTGTTTCTCTCACCTTCACTGTGTGCTGTAGATGCATCAGCATCATCTTTAGGTTCCTGTTTCACTCGCGTGGGAGTCTTAGCCAAGTCTTTACTGGAAGTGGCAGAGGGTTTTGGCTCTGGAAAAACATTTCCTGGGCTGACGTTACCAGATCCGGCAGCTACATAATTAAGAACAGGAATTATCAGAGGTTAATTATCAAAATTGTGCAATTAGCAAGATAGTAATGTGTGTTGGAGTGACACACCTTACTTTTATAATTACCACCAATTCATACCTGTCAGAATAAAAGTATTTATAGCCAATCGAAAATTTTGAATGAAATTAAGCACTTGTTTCATTTGATATTTGGTGAGACAGCTTAGCAAAGCCTGAACACCATACTTTGCATCTTTGTCTATAAAGGGAAGCTACAAGTCAAGTACTAAACCATGCTGTCAAATAATTATCAAAGGTGGAAAAATAAAACCTAACAAGATGTTTACCAGCCTTGCATAACTCAGTTATTCCACTTTCCTGCCTCTTTTGTTATGATACTACAGTTTTTTTAACTTATATAATGTGAACAGAATTGCTGAGAATAAAAGGTATACAGACTACATTGATGAGATATTATTACCTCCACTGGGCAGTCCCATGGCATTTAGTCCCATTACTCTCAATTGTGCCAAATGTGATGCTTCGCTTGCCTCCATTAATTTTCTCATCTGCTCTGACTCGTGTTGGCGCAAGAGCGATGTCATTGGGTTGGCAAAGTTCTCCGCATCAGTCTCCTGTTGGATGTGTTTCTTGACATTCTCTATATGCTTCTTAGTAAAGATATGGTCCTGGACAGTGTACTTGTGTGAATACTTGAATTTGCACAGCTTGCACTCCTCTGGAGGGCGCGAGAACTCCAGCTCCTGGCCAAAGTGTTTGGAATACGCCAGCTTGGCCTTCTTCTCCTTGGCCCGGGCGTTCTGGAACCAGACCTGAACCACGCGCTTTGGTAGCCCTATGAACTGACCGAGCATCTCGCATTCTGCCATGGTGGGCGTCTTGTAGTCGGAGAACAGTGACTTCATCACCTTGATCTGGAGGTTGGTCATTTGAGTGCGGTAGCGTTTGCCTGGAATCCTGTGAGGCACCATGGAATTCATAGAACCCGACTGCGGTGAAAGTTCGTCGTCATCACAATTCTCCGTGCACTCAGAGTAGGTGTCAGAGCGGGAGTCGTCAAAACTGAAGTTGCGTGAGGAGTTCAAGTCGCCGTCGTTACTTCTCTCACTCATATCCGTAGTTGGTCCCTCCAGCACACTGTCCATTTCCGTCTTCACTCTGATTGGCTTACTGAGATCTAGTGGAGAATCATTGTCATCAGGTTTACTGACGGTGGACGTTGAAGAGGAATTTTTCTTGGGTGTCGTCTGCTCTGACATTCCACTGGAATGACGTGATGGGGTCTCAGAGGACTGTTTAGGAGGAGGAGGTGGCGGCAGCTGAGAAGACGGAGGTACCTGCTTCGGGTGGTGAACTGCCCCACTGAGCTCATCAATGTACTTCTTCAGGGAGTCCTCATAAATCTTCTTCATGGTCTGATGCAAGGGGTCTGTCATGGGTGGGAGACCCAGCCCTGGGGGTGGCATAAATGGCATGAAGGGGTGCATGCCAAAAGGTGGCGACAATAGAGGCTTGGTCTCACTGGCTGGGGAGGTGGCTGCTGAAGAAGGTGTGGAAGGGGAGACTGGACCCTCACTGGTGGCATCAGGAATGTCCTCTATCCTGATTTCTCCCTTAGCCATATCTTCAGGGTGTTTGGTGGCCAGATGAGATTCCAGGGCAGACTTGGCCCTGAAAAGGGCACGGCAAAAAGGGCACCTCTTGTGAATCAACTGAGTGTGGGCACGATATTGACCTTTTCGTTCGCGCGCACGCGTGTTCTGGAACCACACCTGCACCACCCTCTTCTTCAGGCCCACTTCGGCTGCGATGTTCTCCAGCTGTTTTCTACTGGGGTTACAGTCCAGTTGGTATTTCTGATACAGATAGTCCAACTGCTCTGGGAGGATGGTGGTGCGGAGGCGCTTGTCTCTGGGCTGTCCATCATCCCTCTCATCATCTTCATCCATGGAGACCTCAGAGGCCTTGCGTTTGTTGCCCATCTTGTCTTCCCGGTGCTGGCTGGCCACAGTCTGTAGCATAGCAAATGCACTGTCTGGTGGATATGCTGGAAACAAGTTAGGATTCATTAAATGAACATTCTGATGTTCTCTCCACAAATCAAAGCGTGTGAATGACAAATTACACTTTTCACAACTGAAGTTGGCCTCTTCTTTCCCAGATGACGCAGACTGCCTTCGTTCTCTAATTTTGCTGTCACTGTGGTCTCCCTGTTCTGCCTCACTCTGATTGGAACTGCCAGTTGAGTTTGTGTCCTCATCTGCTATGCCAAATGCCTGTGCTAATGAAATATCCTCATCCTTATAGCAGTACTTCTTCTGGTGCTTAATGAGCTCATAATAACGCTGGAACACAGTCAGGCATTTCTTACACTGGTAATTAAGCCCAGGCGTGCGCTGGTAACGATTTCCGTCGGTATCTTCAATCTCAACTTGTGGCTGATTTTCATAATTTTTCCTGGCTTTCTGTCTCGCATTCTGAAACCACACCACAATGACCCTGGGGCTGAGGTTTAACACCTTGGAGAGGTGCTCCAATTCATCATCTTTAGGGTAGGCATTCTGCTCAAAACTATCTTGTAAAACCTTCAGCTGGTAGTCAGTAAATCGTGTGCGATTAGCACGTTTTCCAGATCCACTTAGACTATGATTGGTGTCATCTGAATAATCATCAGAGGGTGTGGTAACGCGTGCACGCTGGTCATGGTTCTGTGTAGGAGTGCTGCTCATCATATAGTGTGAAGACTTACTGAATGGTGTGGAATGGTCCTCTCTTGACATAGGGGGCAGTCCAAATGCGGCACTGATTGACATCCTGTTATGACCCAATGACGAGGGCCCTGGGGTTGTAGGGGTGGAAGGACAAGGGTCATCTGCAATACTGGACATGCCATCATCATCAGACTCATCATTGGATATCAGAGTATCGTGTTTATCTCGGTCATCATTCTCAGAGGACTTGGGGCTGAGGTTGCCCGTCTTTTCATACTCTGCTAGGTTCAGAGTGGTCTGGGGTGGTACACTGAAGTTGTATGGAGAGTCCTTGTTCCTCTGCCTCTCTTTAAACAGTGTGTTCCTGAACCAGTGTTTTATGACTTTCTGTGGCAGTCCGCTCTGCTCTGACATGGCAATTATTTGCTCCTCGCTGGGGGAGTTATTGATGTCAAAATGAGCTCGTAAGATCTTCAGCTGTTCGTCGTTGATGCGTGTGCGTGCTCTCTTCTGTTGCTGAGCAGCTAGCTGTTGTTGCTGCTGCTGCTGTTGTTGTTGCTGCTGCTGCTGGTGCTGCTGTTTCTGTGCAGCCATTAAGTTGGGGTCCAGCATTGGGAGGAACCCTGGGGGAGTGAACCCGTCCATCCCAGGCATCATGTGAAGACCCAGGGGTGGCATCATGTTCATCATCATGGGCATTCCAAGGGGGCCAAAGGGCAACATGCCAAACATGGGCATCTGTGCTAGGTGGGCCATGTCCAGGGCCGAGGGGGTCAGGGGAGCCATGTTCTGGGCTTGGGACTGCAACACTGCTTCTGCCTGGCTAGTGCTGGGGCTAGCTGAAGTGGCCACAAATACGTCATCCTGCAGAGCAGTCTGGCATTTTTTCTCATAGTCCTCTCTGAAGTCATCTCCGATACGTTCCACATAATTTGTTGGCACCAGCTCCTTGTGGATCTCCTCCTGATGCGCCTTGAGCACCCACAGACTGGAGAACTGCTTCCCGCATGTCAAACATTCGCACTTGTTGATCTCTGGCAGGTCCATCTTCACTTCTTTAACTCCGCTTTTGCTGTCCACCTTTTCCTTCCTCTCCTCGTCCTCCTTCTCTTTGTCAGCTTCCTGTTCGCTCTCTTCCTTCTTCTCAACGACTTTCCTCTTCTGGTTGTACTCATTAAACTGCATGACGCAGTCAAAGCCAAAGTTCTCCAGGAGACTGCGCTGTGCTTGTATGCGTATCCCTCTGGTGAGAGGTGGCTGGAAGTAGCAATACATCTGCTGGTGCTGGACCAGAACCTCATGGGAGTTAAAGATGGAGTTGCACTTTGTGCACACATGCATGGGAGGGTGTCCGGCAGCCTCACTGCTGGTGATGGCTCTCTCCCCCTGCTCCGAGATTGCAGACATTTTGGGTACTTTTGGGGTGCTGGGGGGATGCAGGTCATGTTGCATGCTCTCGGGCTGAGAAATTCTATTCCGGTGTATCTGTGAGCTCGATTCACCTAAGGTGCTGGACATACCCTGTGTTAATACTGGAGGCTGAGCAACAATGGAGGAGGAGGAGGTGGCCGATGACGCGGCTGGGGATTGAGCAGCTTGCGCCTTCTGTTGCAGCATCTCCGCCAGCACTTTCTTATGGTGCTGCTGGGTTTTGGACTGCTGGTCTGGCTGCTCAAACAGAGGCTGTGAGAGGTCCACCTGGCCTGTCATGGCCAGCTCCTGCAGCTTGGAAGCCCTGGTCTGATGTAACACTGAGCGGATGTGGATATCAAGAGTGGAGCTCTGGCTGTAGGCAACCTTACATATGTTACACTTGTATGGCTTCTTATCCTCTGTCTGATTGCCTGATAGGGCAGGGCTGCTGGGCATGGGAGATGTGGATGATGTTGGTGCTGTCAACCCTGAAGAGGGCGCTGCAGCCAGGGCAGAAGTTGTAGGGTGTGAGCTCCCTACGATGGAGGTGCCCAGAGAGACCCCAGTAGATGTCCCAGGAGGGCTTGAACTGCTAGGGGTGAGGGGGCTGGTGGCTGAGGAGCTGTTACCCTGTGTTCCTTCAAAATGCTGTTGTTGCTGCTTTAGCTTATGGAGGTGCGACACCGAGTTGTAGTGAACCAGAAGTATGTTTTTCTGTGTAAATGACTCCTTACAGGTCTCACACTTGAATGGTCTGTTGGGGTCCAGGTATTTCTCCATGGGGTAACTCAGCTTGTCACCGCGGCGATGGAGTAAGGTTTTGTTGTGCGCACTGAGGAAACTCTGCTTGGAGAATCCAACCTTACAGCGATGACACTTGTATTTCTTGGTGGGGTCATTGTAGCTGTTCTCAGCAAATGCCTGAGTGTTGATGTACTCGAAGTCTGACTGGGTCGAGTCATTTGATGCCTCATTGGAGTTGTCGTTCACATCCAACATATCTTCCCCTCGACTCAAAGAATTCTCATCCACAGAAGGAGATTTGGTCATGTCTGATTCTCCCATGTTTGCTCCATCTGAGTTATCTATAGCCAAATGATCACCAGGAACATCATCTTTGTCCTCGTCATCTTGGTGATTGTTAGACAGTTGCTGTAGTGACTGTTGTTGCTGGGTCAGGATGACCAGTGGGTTGGCAGCCATTCGTGACTGGTAATCGGCTATCTCGGCCTCTGACATGGTCTCGAAGTGAGCAGCCTCCATGTGCTGCTGCATAGAGGCTACAGTACGGAAGCTGCGGTTACATATTATGCATTTGGTGGCAGCACGGATCATGTGGTACTGCTGGTGCTGCTGTAGCTTCTCCATGGTTTTGAACGCCAAGCTACACTGACTGCAGCGAAACTTATAGACGTGGCGTTCAGATATGGCGGCCTGCTGTCGTTTGGCGTGAATTTCTCTGAAGTGAACCTGAAGGGACTGGGCCGTCTTGAAGTACTGGTTACAGCCTTTCTTCCAGCAAAGGTACCCGGGTCCGCGTGGTGTCTGCTTCAGCTCTAGGTGACCCAGCTCGTTTTGGTGTGCGTACAGGAGGTCGATGTTCTGGAATGTCTTGGTGCATGTCTGGCAGCGGTATTCATCATTCAAGGGGTGTTGCTCCAGGTTTATGAAGTCTGGGGATGCACCTAGAAAATACACAATATGAAATTCCATCATGTCATTTTCTCTTTGGTCTGAAAATGTCAATTTGTCTTTAACTGCTACAAACATGGCTGAAAGATGAGAAATCTCTTTTTCCCTCAGACCTAGAATAGACCTATCCTTGCACTCCATACATACACATGCACATTATAGGTATGTATGGAGTTCATGGATTGTCAGTTGTGCAAATCGTCAATTAAGTAACAAAACATGAACATAAATCACATTACTTCTTCAGTGTAGATGCATTCAGTTGAGATCATAGTCCTATACTCCTATACTATTTCTAGGATCTAGTGTGCGTGTGTGTTTGTGTGTGTGTGTGCTGACATTTAGTATACAGTTTGAGGTATTTACCTTCAACATCTCCACTGAAGAAATATTTTTCAACTAACTTCTATTTGCAAATGAACAATTACTTGCAACTGCCACTGCATATCAAGCAGCTTCAAACAAGCTGCTAATTACTTCCTAGTTCAAATTGCCTAATTAGGACTAACTATCACCACTAAAAATTACTTAGTTATTTGAAGATAAGGTGAGAAACATTTTTCACACAAAACAGACCGCTTCTGATTTTTTTCCTAGACTGTTCTTAATTATTTGAGATCAAAATGAAGATAAAGAGGACAAAAAATTGTTAACAAGAAATAGAACACATCTTTAAGATTTTTTTCTTCAATGCAAAACATTGTCTTACATGAAGGCTTGTAAGTTGCTTGAAAAATATTTTAAAAACTTTATTAACAAAAAGAACCAAACATTTTACTTTATAAATACAATCAGCAAAAGAAAAAAGGCTACCACTTTAATACTTATTAAAGTCCCAAAAATGTTTTTTTATTTACATATTCCTTAAAAGAACCATGAATTTTGTTTTCAACGATATAGACTTTCATGCTCTCCTCACCGTTGTCAGCCTGCAGTTCATCCGCCGTCTGCTGTGGATCATCTCCTCTCTTACTCTCTTCAGAGGGCGCCACTGTATGGTCAGGTTTAGAGGCCGGAACCGCATCCACCATGGACAGTATTCTCTGCATGCCCTCCTTGCTGACATTGTGAACCTTCATCAGGTGACCCTCCATGGCCAGAGTGTCCATACACGCCTCCTGGCACAGTGGACACGGCTGGCTCTGGCTGGACTGAGACGGTGCCGCTTGCTGATGTTGTTGTTGCTGCTGCTGCTGGTTGTTATGTTGCTGTAGAACATGTGTGTGCATGCGCACCTCGCTACTGCACGTGTAGTTACAGAATGGACACATCTGGTGATGGTCTAGAGAGTTCCCTGTAGCACCTGGAGAGAACAAAAAGAGAGCCATTGTTAATATCATCACCATCATTTCTAACAGCATTTATTTCTTATTCATATAAATATAAAATGCTTTTCTTCCAATATATGAAAGAAGAAAGTAAAAGCATAAGCCATTATGTTTAGACTGTCATTTTTATTACTGAGAGATAAGTTCTTATTTTTCTCTTCATATGAAGTTTTTCATTAATGTGTGTGTATGTGTGTGTTTGAGAGTGAGAGATCAAACACTATCTAAACAAACAAACAAACAAACAAACAAACAAACAAACAAACAAACAAACAAACAAACGCAAGTCAAAGGCAAACACATTAAATATGGATTATCAAACATGGCTGCTGCAATCCCTTACACAGCAGCAACACTACATTTTCATCTCTGACTGCCTTCTTAACATAGCACAGCTTAAGATCTGCCCTGATTATCAGTTTCAAGTGTCTCTGTCTGCCGAGTATGACCTGACCGCCCTAACTGCGTGAGTTATTAACATCAAAAAATCAATACATAATAGAAACCCATTTAAATATCAGTGCCCATTAAGTCATGATGCACAGGAATTGGAGAAAGGAGAGAAAGAGAGAGTGAGTGAGAAAGGGAGAGAGAGAGAGAGAGAGAGAGAGAGAGATGGAATGTAACTGAGGTCTGCAGCCATTTAAATTGAGATATGTATTTTATTGGTGTTGCCGTGGTAAAGTGTAGTTTGCCAGGATACAGTGCTGGGCCCCAAGCTTTCTTATGACTGTGCCCTGCAGTAATAACATCCCAGGATATCCTAATCTAACTAAGAGTACTTGATGAGAGTCTAAACCACCAGGCTTGAAAAATACTTGAAAAAATCCCGCTACATGGCCTGGCTGATGAGAACCATCTGGGGCGGTTCAAGATAATTACGAAAATCAATGTTTTCCTTAATTACTAACGATGCTCTGGTGCTTAATAAGGCTCACAACCCTTGCCGGCACAATGGGTAGCAAGCATTCTGACTTGTAGGCGGCCATTCCTGCGGTGAGGAGAGGAACGCACTGATTAATCTTCAAAATCTCGAGTCTGATCATTTTCCTGTGTGCTAAATTAGAAAGGGTCTGTGATTAACGTAATGAGAAATCGACATCAAATTTCAGCGCCATTGAAATGGTGTGCCTCCCCATTGTTCTGCTGTAAGAGGCTGGAACAATGGCACACATACCATCTCCACTGATCTGCAGCTTTCAGTGAAATGACTACACTGAGAATATTATGGTTTGTTTCCCTGCACACTGCAGCCATTCATCAGTCACAATGCGCCCGCCATAACGCTGGGCTGCACAATCTAAAAACAAAGTGCAAAGACATCAGATTTATTTTCTCAGGTGTGAAGCCAAGGTTGCCGCTGTCTCATAGTTTTCTCATCTTAATCAAATCACCCTGCCCTAGTGTTATAGATTTTGTAATTAGTCCGAGATTACAAGTAAAATTAATCAACTCCTTAGAATATAACTCTCAGTGCTGACCCTGATTCCTGCTGTGACTTTGGTATATATTACAAAGAACACTAATATAGTCAGACAAAGTCAGACATACTCTGAGTATAAGTCAGGGCAGACTGAAATTAATGATTAATAAATGACTGGTTTATAAATTTAATTATCTTTTTTTTTCTTTTTATTGCTCCTTTTAAAGCATAAGATTGAGGATGAGATGACAAATGATCTGTAGCCATCAGCACGTACAAATATTCCTTGTTTTCTCACGTAAAGAGTTCCCAAACTCCTTTTGTGATTAATGAAAGGAAATTATAAATGTGTCTTTCATTCTATTTTCAACACTTGAAATTAAATTGGTTTAATTAGGGCCATCTTCAAAGGAAAGAGATGGGCAAAATAAGTGACATAGCAGAGGGTCTCAGTCTGTTTATGTGGGTTGTGACACGCATTCAAAAGTACTCATAACTTAACTTTCAGGCTGATGAATTAAGAATTAAAAATGTTTGCTACATGACTGCCATCTTTAATGGGATTAAGCAACAAAACTTACTGATATGAATGTAGAATTCATTCCTTAACATCTAAGTTTTAGTTTACTCCAAAACTAATTTGTTGCAACTCTTGTCCAATCAAAATATATTTGAACCCCAGGAAATTTTGTTTTTGTCAGTTTGACAAAGTGAATGTTTTCATACAGTGTATGATAATGATATAATCCAAAAGCAACTAATAGTCATTTAAATTTTCAAAGTTAAACTTAACATATCTGAATCAGTCAATCATATATAAACAAAGGATTGTTTTCGAATATAGAGTAAGGGTGTATTTCCAGAGATTTAGATCGATCCAGGGATTAAAATTTAGATCGACCTAACTCCCTGGGGGTTCACGCTAAATTGCAGTCAGACGAGCGCGCACCATAGTTAATTACCCCTTTACAGCTTTTAGTAGGCGGGTCAGACGCTTAAGCCGGCCAAGCTGACAGTAATCTAGTGAGACTCCCCACAGGGATAGATCGATCTAAAAATCTATGGAAATGGGGTGTAAGACAAACCAATCAAAAAGATCTTTTGGTTGCTTTAACGGTATATATCAAAGTAAGAAATAAGACCAGTTGTGTGATTGATAATGGGCACAAAACTCAAATACATTTATTAAATCCACATTTCTGCTTTTAAATAAATAAATAAATTAATTAATAAATAAATAAAAAATTAGCATGGATCTTGTTATCAAAAGAGCCAAAGAAGAATTAAAGTTCATACAAAATATTTTTAAGTTGTTACCCATTTGTATAATATGTTTTGAGTTAATAAAGAATTATATACATGTATGAAAATAGGCAAAAAGGAATTCATGTCAATGATGGCATCAACAATCAAATTTAAAAGTTTTATTTTTCAGCAGAAGTTTGCTAACGCTATCCTTAAATCATATATAATAATTTTTATCTCATATTAGTACTCAGGAAGAATATTTGACTCCAATCCAGTTGATCATCCCAAATACTATACAAGCCATGAGTGTACATCTGTATTTTTGTATCCAATTGTATTTGTTATTGTACACATAATTGTCTAACATCATGTCATATGTACTTTGTCATTTAAGCTTCTAATATCACCATCATAATAGTGGTTTCCCCACTTTTAGAATCTCTTCTCTTTCGGCGTTATGTTGATTCCATATTATTTTAGCTCTAATGAGTACAGACGTCAAAATATAAGGTTTCTTTTCTATGAGAAATGCTATCCTACCATTTGTGGACTCTAGTGTGCTGTCTGTGTCTTCTCTCACCACCTCTCCATCTTGACTAATGTCCATATCGTCAGCAACCTGGTCTCCATCTTGAAAAATAAAGAACATTCTTTATCACACTATAATAATAAATATGTAAAAGTATTAATACGATATTTAACTTTTTATGGTAAGGCTTGCGACTGCATATCAGCATATTAAAAAACATTGTGATATTTCTCACTTCTGTCAGAGAAGTGTGATCTCTTTTGCAGATTAGAACACGCAAAATGCATGCTGTAACACTAAAAACATGTAACTCTGCTAAATGAAAAATAATGTATGCAATAGAACAGATTACACCTTACCATCCAAATTTTCAAACAAACTCCTCCTGTACAACTAGGAAATGATTAAGTTGAAAAACATGTTGACAACCAATAATTCACAAGGTGAGGAAAGGGCATTCACCTTTGAATGGTTCTCAGAACTTCCAAACAATCTAACTGAGATGATTGAGATTATTGTCCCATTATTCTAGTATATTTTGAAGAAAAATTAGGAATTTATTTCACATTATGTATGTTGATACTGATTATGAGAAAAGTAAATTGTATTTAAAGAGATTTTTTCCAAGTATTCAAGACCTTTCACTCTTCACCACATTTAGTGGTTTAAGGATGTACTTATATACCATCTCATACTAAGAGAAAATAATAAACTTATTTCACAGTACGTTAATTCTGTCTATCAATCATGTAAAGAAAAAAAAACATTATTTTAATGTCTTAAATTAAAAAGACTTGTGTAGAAGAACTTTCAATGATCCTGTTCTAAAAGTTTCACCATTAAAAAGATAAACAAACACAATACCCCTCACAATTTAAGTTTTAATAAAGTTGTGTTATAAGTCCATCTAAAACTGATTTCTGCATTCATTTTTTTTTTTTAATTTGCTCTTTTATTTTTCACTGACAGCAAGCCTCATGTAACTGAATTTGTCTTTTATGATATTTATTCCTAGTTACAAAACATTTTGCAAAAACATTTTGAGGCACACTGAAGTACTTAATGGAAAGCTCCATAAAACTGGTGGGTTACAATATTTAAGATAAAAGATAAAAAAAACACAAATGAAGGGTACTAGTCTTTACATAGTTCAAATTTTAGTCTTTTTTATCACCAATTTTTGTCTTTCTTGTATTGTCATCAGCCATATACTGATAAGTGAGAGTAGCCACACCTTGATTAAAATATCTTCATATACCTAATCATCTGTCATAAATTTTCTTCGAAATTGAACAATATATGTATAAATGGCATCTTAAATTTCTGTGTAATCCAATCTTCACTTGGAGTAACTGAGGTAAATTGGCATAGGTCATTGCAAAGAACAATAATCACAATAATTAGAGAAATGGGTTCATTTCTACATCAAACCCATCCTAATTTTCATTTATTTCCCAACAAAACAACCTGGCAGCAGTAATTAACCTGTGGCAGTTCAAACAGGTTTGTTCCTGCATATGGAAGCAAGACATGACAAACTTTAAGTTGTTTTACAGTTGACAAGGTACGATTAGCTTTTCCCTGAGATAGCTGGTAATAATTGAGATAGAGAGAGACGAGACAATGGTGGTGTTTTCTGTTTCAACACGCTCAATAAACAACATTTCCCAACATTATATACACCCTAAATACTGATAATATTATCCTTGTTGATAATAAACTGGCTTTATTTTCTATTCAAATACCCCTGGCCAGGTTCAGAAATTTCTCCTATTTAAAGAGAAGATGGCTGTCACACTTGTTATAAATCCCTCTACTTACTTCCTGAATAATCACAGCCCCTGCGGTATGGAGACACAAAGCACAGGTGTTAAGTTTGCTTCCAATTTGCAATTAATGGGGGCCTCATACACCCCCTTTTCAGAGCGTCTTCAAATCATTTCATCATTATGACTATAGGCATATCCAAAAACAAGAACCTGTGCTAACAAAGGGTTCACTGGGCCAGCTTTACGCACCACAACTTGTCTATTGGTTTCTCCGTCAACAACAAGTTCCCATTCACTCACCAGTGCCTTCTTTTATTATAACCCTGATAAATTACTCCCTCATATTCATTTAGAGGTCCCAAAAATAACTTGAAGTGATTTTCATGAAAAGATGTTAGATCAAAGCGAGAGAGGTGCGCTATTGTATCCTCTCCTTGCTGAGAACAAAGCAGAATGGGAGCATTTGATTGGAGAGTCAACATCCCACCATTACTCATTTTAATTTCAGCTCATTCAATTACCAATTTTAGTGTGAATGTTTTTTACAGAGTACACCTGATTAACTCAAACTTGATTACATTCCCACACTCCAGGTTGAAGAGCCAATACAAGGACTTTCTCCCTGGTGTTGTTTAATTAGGGTGCCACTGTTACCCTCCCTTTTCTTCGTCCCCTCTCCCCTCCAGCTTGATTAACATTATCTCACGACCATCTTATCCTAATGGCGTCTTAACAAATGCCCCAGCAGATAATGGCTGCTGGTCGCCTATTGTCTGTGTCTAAGGTGCGTCACTGCATCCTAACTCCAGTTACATGTACTCAGGATGAGAAGACAATCTAAAGCTTTAAGGAGTGCACCTGAGAGATTATCATTAAATTTTGCCAACTTTTGTCTGTTAAATGCACAGGCATGTCACACCTCAGTGGGTCTCATAGCACAGAACACCTGACAATTGTCTGCATTTCTTTTAACAGATAGAAGGGTGACTAAGATAAACACCAAAACCAAAAGTTGAAGCTGTAATATATTTCAAGGTGCTACATATATATTTTTTTATCTAAGGAATTTTATATCTCGGAACAAGATCAATGCGAGCCTATTTCTTCTTAAAGCCATCCCTACCTGTGTCCAAAAAATTAATTAAAAAAACATCACAATTATCTTTTAGGATTCAGTTGTTTCTCCTGATTGATTAATTTGAGAGTTAAAAAAAATAATTGTGGTCCCATTACAGCTGGGTGAGCTTACTTAGACAACAGAGGCCATAGGTATGTATCAACAGCTGAATGTTTTTGAAGAGCTGCAGGTTTTATTTTACAAGAACAAGCAAAGAATCCATAGAAATCTGTTGGCTATTTTTAGGCAACTTTCAGTTTAAATGGGACAATATAACTATCTGGCAGAGGTAAGCAGCTGTCAATGCAGATAATTAACATTTTACCTTATAGAGTATGTCCGAGCATGCACATGCACATACACACACATGCACGCACACATACACAGTTATCCATTTCCCTGTTAACTGTCATATGAACTATTAATATTTACCACAGTAATACGCTCATAACATGGTGCTATATCAAAAAGCAAGTGTTTAAAGGGTTCAGAGAGAAGAAAGGCAGGTTGGTATGTGTGTAAATAAGTGTGCATGCATTTATGAGTGCATGTGTATGTGTGCATGTGCACTGGTGGGAGGGGCTGGGTGGATATGTGTGTGTGTGTGTGTGTTTGGGGTGGGGGGGGGGGGGGAGGAGTCAACAAAACAAAAACCTAACCACCAATATACAATACAGCACAAGGCAATACAAGTGAGATATTAGACCAAAGAAATGTTTCCAAAACTTGAACCAGTGCATATTCACTCCAAGACTTGTGCACCAAGACACTTGTTAATTAAATATGTATCTCTCTCTAACGTCTAATGGAGAGGGGCCACACTTACAAGATCTGCAGGATAAGAATCTGATACAAGCCCTGCCTTATCTCCATGGGTCTAGAACTTCAGTTTAATTGATGCTTATCAGAGGTCGTGAACTTCTGACCAGGAGCTCCCTGTCCACTTGCATAAACCTCTTTTTCCTTCAGACTTGAGCCATGTTCCTTATCTGTCACCCTCTTTACTAATTCCTCTTATCAGATCTCCCCAACAGTCTCATTACAGCACTGATATTAACTGCTGTTTAATGGGCACATACCGTGTCATTTCCTCACCAAACCTTCATTAAAATGGCACATTTCTTTAATTGTTCTCTTAATTACTGGCATCTATAGTTTACTGACAGTTCACCTGTGGAACAATAATATCCTGAGTGGCGTCAACCAGGGTGACATCGTAAGATGCCGAGATATGATGACTTTTAATTTCTAGAAAAATATGAGGACTGTTATAATGTTATTAATGTATAAATATTTTTCATTATCATCTTGGTAGTTTTCAGACAGTAATTTTTAGTTTACCTAATATCAGCCATGGGGAAATAATTTTATATTTAACATGCTGTCACCATAAAAAATAAATAAATAAATAAATTTTGCTACTACTTCTACTTTGAGGATATAAATATATTAATAAATCATATTCTGACACCAGTTTCTAAAATAAATAAATGAAATTGCTGAATTTAACTTGGGCATTTTAGCAGACAACAATGAATATATACAGTACTAAATACCATGACTTTTTCTGCGACACAGGCATTGTCATCCTACCCCTCATGTAGTCAGCCATGCAACAATATACATATTTATTTTCACCTGTGTGCAGGTTTGTTAACATTCTGAAATGTAGGTGCTTTAGAAAACTGTGAGTATTATACTGAAGTATTGCTTTTTTTCTGTTTTTCCCATTCTTTTGTACCTGGTGAAATGATGCAATTGCTTTTTCAAGGACTTTCATGCAGTACCAACGCTCCTTAAGGATTCTGGGATACCTATGGCTTCTCTGCCAGGTCCACCACCAAGAGACTGGATAGGGCAGGGTAAATGACTTACAGGTTATAACGATGTATTGATTCACTTGATAAATCTTGACAAATGTCTCCATTCATTCAAAATGAAACTTGAATGTGATTCTTCGCCATCTTTTGTAAGAAAGAAAATGAAGAAATCTCCCTGACCAGCGCACCCTCTCAGCTCCCTTGAACACTCTTTTTTCCCAGGGGGTTAATAAGCAACTATGTTCTTTTTTTCATTAGTACTTCAATTATTCAGATTTCTGCCTATTCTTAGCCTCTAATGAAGAAATCACACTAATTACAGTTTTCCGTGTCCAATAAATTAGTTCTGATTTCTTCAAATTACATGACGTGCAGTAGCCCTTCTCCCCATACAC